ATTGAAACATTGACATGTGCACATTATTCTATTTATTTGGCAGCAATAAAACAGAGTTAAGACAGTTTTCATTGCCAAATGCATTATATCTCTTTATCTTACAGGCACTGAAATTAAATTTTGTTTTATTCAGTTTTTTTGGGGGGTGGGGGGCTCAAACCCAGGACCTTCAGTGTGCAAAACATGTGCTGTAACCAATGAGTTACATCAGCAGCTCTCAGGCATGTTTGTATGTGTTAAATTACTTTTTAGTTGCTACCTTTTACCTGTGCTATTTGTTTATTCTCAACTTGAATTATTGTCTGATATCACTTCTTTTCAGCTTAAAGAATTTCCTTTAGTATTTCTTTAAGACAGGTCTAATGCTAGCAATAAACTCTTTTAGACTATATTTTGTGTTCAATTTTGAAATATAGAGTTGCTGGATGGAGGACTGTTGGTTGAGGTTTTCAACCAGCACTTTTAATATAACCCAGCTGTCTTTCGGCCTCCATTTTGTTTCAGATTAGCTGTATGTAGCAAGTATTTTTTCTGTTTCCTATAATTTCTCTTTGGATTTTAACAGTTTGACTATGATATATGTTAATTTTAGTCTATCCTGTTGGAGTTCACTGAGTTCCTGGATGTATAGATTAATATTTTTCATATTTGGGAAGTTTCAGCCATTACTTCAGAAAATTTTCTCTCTCCTCTCCTGGTTCTACCACAATGCATATTTCAGGGTGCTTAATGGTGAGGATTTTTTCTTCCATTTTTATTAGGATATATTCATTGCACAGGGGAGATTCATTGCAACAATTCTGAAAAGCCTTACATTGTACATTGGTTACATTGCTCCTACCATCTCCCCCTCCCAACTCTCATCCCTGCCCCCTTAAAGCAATTGCAGGAGGTTTCATTGTTCTATTACATATAGGTATATGAAGCCTATCAACTACATTCCCTCACCTTCATCTCCTCCATTCACCCCCTCCCACACAAGTACCCCTCACTGTATCTATTTTACAGTCCTTTCATTAATTCCAAGTCATTGTTCAAAAGGGTTTCAAAGTATCCCTGCTGTGAAGGCTTTTTGTTTTTAATTTCAGTAGCTTATAGATTATAAATAAATTTTATTGTCATCTTGAAATAAAGATTTCTATTTTTGATTCCCCATGCCTGCCCCCCTCCCCCTTCCCCGGTCCTACTGCATTATCTAGGAAGATCTCCAGTACAATGTTAAACAGAAACAGTGATGGTTGATGATCTTTGCATTTCTAGGGTAAAGCCTGTGTGGCCACAAAGTGTTTTTAATACTTGTAGGTCTATTAAGTAAGCAACATCAAGTTTATTATTTCATGCAATCTTTGCTCAGTTTTGGTATTACCAAAATCTTTTTCCTGTTTTCTGTAACAGGTTGCATTAGGTAAGAATTCGTTCCTAAGAAGTCCTGATAAAACTTGTCTATAAGACAATTTGAAGTAGTGAGTAGATGATTAATGTGTCTGTTTAGTCAAATTTTCCATTTTTCTTTGGTCATTCCAGAAGCTTAAGAAGCTGTTTTGTCAAGACTTCTAAATTCACTGCCATGTGTTTTGTGATTTTAAAACTTCTACTCTTTTCATGGCTGTCTCATTTCCTGTTGAGATATTGCCCTTTCCCCCTTACTTTTGCTAGATTTTTATTACTCTCCTTCCTAAAGGATGGCTAGTTTATTGATGCCATTTTAAAATTTTTACTGCTTTCTGTTCATGATTGACTTAAAAATTTTTTCTTCTTGTAAAAATACATGAAAAGAATAAAGATTTACTACATATTTCCACTTCATTTTTTAAAAACATTGTTCTATGGTACCTTCATCATTCAGTTCTAAACATTCTGCAATTTCTAATTTTATCTTCCCTTGAGCTCAGCTTTGCACCATTTAAAAGTAGCTTACTGTGATTGATTTTCTCATAACTGGTATCAGAAAGATGTGGGTTGACATCAATTCCATAAAACTTGTTAAGGCTGAGTTTGTGACCCAGCTAATACCTAGTGTTTGTGATAGTGTTCTTTATGTATCTGAGGAATAATGAACTTTACTGGGCATTGTGATCTTTCCATATGTGGTTGATTTACTTATTAATTTTACTTAGTTTTATGAAATGATTACTAATTAAATATTTCTGATTTCAGTTTCTGGTAAAGGCACATTAAAATTACCTACTATGCTTATGAATTAAAACCATCCTACAATTCCCAAAATTTTCCTTAATATACTTTGAAGTTATATTATTAGGTAGTCTGAGTTCACAGTTGCTACATACTATTTTATGTATTTTTATTTAGTGTCTCAATTCCTATCATTGTGGAAAATTCTGTTTTATCATACTTTCTTTTGGATGATAGTTACTATTAAAAACTAACTTTCAGAAAAGAATTCTGATAATCTTTAAAATAATTTGCACAAACATTAGGCTGTATCTTCCTGTGCTTACTGAGATTAAGACCTGATTATATTTCCATGATAATTATTTGTTCCTCTCTATAACAAAGCTTTCGGTTCAAAATAGGATATTATCTGAGCAGCATTATTTTACAAGACTCAGTAAGTGTTCATTTATTCATGTTCTTCAAATTTTTCTATGGAGTGAATTTACTGAGTTTCGACATACCAAGTTATACAAGGTACAAGAAGAAAGGTTTTTCATAATTTCAGTTAGGTACTTATCATTGGAGTTGTGGTAGAACTGGAATTAGATACAGAATCATACCCCTCCTCCAATCAGATTTATCATTTTTATTTAGATAAACCTAAAATATGAGTCACTTTTTAGATTACAACTTTTTCTCACTTGAACTTTTTCTTCTCTGTGGGTCTCTTACATAGCCTGGAAATGAGTGCTTTTCCCCAAAACTGTGTTATTAGAAGTGGTTGTAATCTGGACTCTGCCTGTTTCTGTTACTTTATTGGGCAAAGGGTTGGAATTCACATTGAAAGCTGTCATGGAATGGTAAGTCTAAGCACCATTGAGCCCTGCACACCTCTGAAATATTTTAATCATACTGACCATATAGAGATTTAAACATAAAAACAGCTTCTTGTTGGGGAAAAAGTCTACTTTAAGCTCTTTCAGCACTTTTTTCAGTCCATTTATTTAATATAAAAGAATCCACCAGAAAGTCACAAATCCGAAAAATGTGAGATTACTATTAACCCTACATAGGAATGACTAAGATGGTTTTAATATAGAACTAAGTAACATGATGTAGTTTGTACTTAGCACACTCTAGTTTAGAAATGTCAGCACTGTAACTTAAGTAACATGAACTTTTCACATTAAGGGATGGGCATAACCAGGGAGTGAGGGAACAGGAGGTTGCTGTGGGGATGGCACCCCTTGGCTTCTGGCTCACAATCCTTGAATCTGTCTGGCCATAGTGATGAACTTAAAGAAGAAGAGTTAAAACTATTTATATTGACAATGCAGAACTGTAGTTTCTTCTTTGGACAACCTCTGCCAAGATGAATGGTAGATCCCCCATCTATGGAGATTTTGATTAAGAAGATCTGGGGTGGGCTCAGACATCTGAATTTTTTAATAGTTCTGTTGAAGATTCCTAATTGTGTGTGGTGATGGCACCAACCTGTAATCCCAACTACTTTGGAGCTGAGGCAGGATGACCACTTGAGTCAAGTTCAAGACCAGTAGATCTTTTCTCTCAAAAAAAAAAAAAAAATCCCTCCTGTGTTTTCTCATACATACAAGAAGGGAATTTTTTGTCCTTTCTTGTCTCCTGTGGAGTGGGATAATATTGCTGGTATCCCACTGAAGACTGCAGACCCAGATACGGGAAGTGATTGATAAAGAGTCTGAGCAATGGGAAAATGTCCTCAAAAAAAGTTATTTATAGGTAATGCTACACATTTTCCATACCTTGCAAGTTACTTATGACACTGAATTCTGCTGAGACATGCCATTAGTCCCTCAAGTACGTGTTGTGTTTCCTACACTTTATTTACAGCACTTCTACTGTGTGTGATCATAATCACCAGATAAGTACTTAAACAGTCAAGAACTAATTATTTTGCTATTATTGAGCTCAACCTAGTGTCTAGAACATTGTAGGGATTCACCTGTTAACTGATAACATATAATTTTTTAGACAGTTGTCATATAATCTTCACTGTCAGGATGGAACTGATTTTGTGTTAATCACTGAACTTACCTTCATAATCCTACTGTTTACCTTAAATACCCACTACAAGGAATTTCTAGGAGCAGTTATCAATGACAGCATTTCAGTTTGTGTCACTATCAGATACATTGCTACAAAATGGTGTTCTGCATATATTTCTTCCAAATTCTTGTTCATGATTTTTCAATGCAAAAATAATGTAAATTTTTCTAAGATTTTAAGTTTCAAAGAAAATATTTGAACTGTATAAACTCTTCAGTGATGTCTAAGTTGATCATTCTTCTCTTGGGAGAGGTATAGAGTGAGATATCTGCCCTCCTGAATACTTAAAAAAAAAAATCAAGAATACAGGCAAGGCTTTAATGGAAACTTCAAACTTGAGGATGACGACACAGAATCACCTTTTTGTTTTTTAGATAGAGTATCGTAGGCCAGCTTTCCCTAAGCCTGCCTCAAACCTGATCCCCCTACCTCTGACTCCTGAGTAACTGGGATTACAGATGTGTATCACCACATCCAATCTGCTTATTTCTTCTTGATGCAAACAGTTTTGATTCAATAGGGTCTAGAAAGGAAACATCTAGCAGAGATTGGTGGCAGGGTACCACCAAAGACCTTTCACAGCAAAGTCACTCAGATCCCTCAATTTCCAATATTTCAACATTTAGATTTCCATGTGGTATGTCCTGTATTAAATAAAATTCTCATTTTTTCTAGAATAATATTAAGTTGGAACTTCACATGGATATTATCTTTAGCTTGCTAAATGAAAAGCCAGGCTTTTCATTATTAAAGTTTCATGTGTCTTTCCTTAAGAAGTCCACTAAAGAAGAGAAAAATTATGCAACAAATTTTATTTAGCATAGTCAGTCCCAACATTCAGCACAAAAAGTTTACAGAGGATAGAAAGTGCATTAATAAAAGCCAGTCTTTACCCAAAGGAAACAGAAAATATATTATTGATTCAAAATATTTTACAATTGAATGATAAACTGCAATAACTTATTCTGGGCACCTAATGATAAGAGAAAGGAAGAGAAGAAAAGAATGTTTTAAGAAGAGGTCAATCTCCAGCTGATACCAGCAGTCAGTAGAGGTCACTAAGACCGGCAGTCTTTCTTGCTTTTTGCATTAGTGCCCTCAGCTGGAACTGTTTCCGCGACAGTAGACGTACATGCTGGGAGTGGGGGAAAGTATCAGTAGTTTAGAATGGATGAAGCATCAAACAACTTATAACCTAGAAGGGAATCCTGAACACATTACCCACATCAATCCTTGGAACTATTACCTCATTACATGTGGCCTTTTTTTTTTTTGGTGGGACTAGGATTTGAACTCAGGTCTTCACACTTGCAAAGCATATACTCTACTGCTTGAGCCATACCTCTAGTACTTATTTTTTTGCTAAGGTTATTTTGGAGATGGGGTCTTGGGGCCTGGGCTGTCCTCAAATCATAATCCTCCTGATCTCAGCCTCACAAGTAGCTGGGTTTACAGGTGTGAGCTGCTGCCACATGACTTTTTTTTTTTTTTTTGACTCCACTGCATTGATGCTGGCAGACTATGTTAGGGCAAGTTGTCTTTGAGCCTTTGAAGTCTTAAAGGGAAAGCACCACTTTGCAGGATCTGGCTCCAGATTCTGAGCTACAGCTTTTTTGTTTTGTTTTGTGGTGCTTCTGATGAACTCTGGGTCTTGTGCATGTTAGGTTAAGTGCTGTACCACTGAACTGTCTAATAAACTATACCTCCAACTCTGAACTACATCTGAGACAACCAAGATGTCAGGGAAACCTGTACTGTGATTCTAATAAAAGTTACTAAATTGTTCTCCCTTGGCTAACATGGGGAAAAGCAGGGACTACTAACACAGAGCTAGCTTTTCCCCCTAGTCCAATGCCTAGTGAATAGCAACTTCTCTTGCCTCTCCATGTGCATCTTTCCCTGTCTATGCCACTCAAGCAGGAGACAGTGTATACAAAGGGACTCTTCTCTTGGATCTGTGATTTATAACCAGCCATCCATGTGCATATCAGATTAGAGGCACAAGGTTTGGCCACTTACCCACAGTGAGACAGACAGTACAAGCAAGATCAGTAAGTGACCTCACCCGCCTCACGTGTACACTGAGACACTAGCAGCAACCAGATCAAATATCCCAAGGGTTAGCTATTATTCCTAAGACTATATTATGTTCACCAGGAGCCAACAGCAGTAACCAAATTTGGTTTACTAGATTTTCATGCATGTACAACAGCATTAAGCTGAGACAACCTTCATTCAAAGGACAGCCCAGTACTGGAGGGTGTGGCTCAAGAGCACTTGTCTAGTACATGCAAGGCTCTAGGTTCAATCATCAGTACCAAAAAAAAAAAAAAAAAAAGCAGCAGCTAGCCCACTTCCTTGGAGAGCTATGTGATTTTGGAAAAATGGTCTAAAATTATGCAACTCTAAAAATATTAACAGATAAAAAATGGGAGTAGGCACTCAGTGATCTCAATTTAATTGTATGATCTGAAAGAATTTAAAAAAATCTGCTGTGCCTCCAGATCATCCAGCCAGGCACAGTAGTATGACAGAGTTAGAGTCATCTCAATTCTGCCTGGCAGGTGGGAAAATGCAGCACTAGTCCACTTTTCTTCCCTTATTCAGACTGATCCACAGATCCTCAGCACTCTAGGTAAGAAGACTACTCATGGCCATATATCTCACTTGCTGTCTTTTGGGAAAATAATCTTAACCCATCTAAGACAGAAACTCTCTTGGTTTGTGGTTTTCAAGGCCAATAACCCACAGCCCAAGCTTCAAAATCCTGGAAAGCAGAATGAGGAAGACATACCTTCAGGAAGACATCCAGGTCTATCACTCCTCGCCTCAAGGCTTCTCCCAAGTAAAAGATAGTGTCTTCAATAGCATTTTCCTCTGCATACAGATTTAGGATCTGTTTATATAATGGGGCTGTGGGAATGATAACTTCATCAATATCATTGTTTTCAGATTGATTTTCCATTTTCTCCAGAGCAGAACTTAGTTCTTCATCCTTCTTTTTCAAAAGTTCTATGTTTTTATCAACTTCAGCCTGAAAACAGAATAGTGCATGCATGATGAAGTTATATTCATTTGTACATAATTAACTGCTTGTCAGACATCTCCTACTCAACGTCACAGGAAGATCCTGACTAATAAACAGTATTTAAAAAACTCGGGATGAGATTAATGCTTCCGTTAACACATCAGTCAAAGGCAGAGGAAAAGGTGTGTTCTAAGATGCTGAGGGCAACAGGAAAGAGCCTGAACAGTGACAAACTAGGCATGCTAAGATGCGTGCATTCCAATACCAAGTTCCTTTACACAGAAAATCATAAAAGAGGTTTTCTTCCAAGTGGGCATCTACCACAGAAAAGTAACGTCTATGCAGAGGATTCAATGTACAAAGCCTGAACACTTCCTCTGGGTTTCAAGGTATTGTAAGTGGTGGTTGTAGGCTCTAAATTATATTGGTTATCACTTTCTGGAACTCCTGAAAGTAGCTGACTACTGTGACACTTTATACATACACTAGAGCCATTTCCAAACTAATGTGTAAGAATCACTTTCTCCAAACCCTTCAAACTTTGATAGCTCTACTCTATTATCAAAACTGAACATTTCCTGGACTAAATCCCTTGTGGTTATGAAAAACGAAGCATTAACTGGTGCTCAATTATTCTTGTGCCTTTCATCATCATCACTAAATACAGTCACAGATCTGATAAACACAGAACTCTCCACAGCATAAACATGAGAAAGCCTAAAGTGCTAACGGGTACTCACACTATGTGTATAGAAAGCTCTTAAGGCAACCCTAAATATCTCTAGATTATTGTGATGAATTCGCTAAAGATACTTTTTTTAAATGTCTCAAACATTTGGAATAGAACCAATCAGGGCCTGCAGATCTTCATTGTGACTTAGAACTCTAAAATTCAGCTTTCCTGGCAACATCAAGTACTCAAAAGAGTCATCCTTTGGGTCAAATGTTATCTTCTAGGGCACAGGAGCAAGCAGAATGCTCTAAATATCATTTACCTCCCAAAGACCAAATACCAGACATGGGCTCCATTTTTAACAAAGCAATATACGACACATACACACACACATATACAATACTATTTAATTCCTTCATTCAGACAAGGTCCTGCTATACAGCTTAGATTGACCTCAAACTTGAGAACCTCCTGCCTCCATTTCCCAAATATGAGGACTGCAGGCATGTCTACCCGGCTTTAAGAAGCTATATTCAGATGTCTGAAGACACCTATAATTTTATGGACATTTACTATACACACATCCAAGATACAACCAGAATGGTTTGTCATGGCTACAATCCAGAAAGTGTAAGTCTTCGATGAATTACTTACTACTTCTTGATCTAAACGGGTGACCATCTCTTCCAGTTTTTGGTGACCTTTTTTCAGGTCTTCCTCTGTTCGTTTCAAGGCATTGAGCTCTGCCTGGGCACGATCCATCTCCTCCTTCATCCGCCATCTCAGTTTGTCACTGACTGCTGAGATGAGAGAGGCTCGGATAGTATCCTCGCTGATTGTGCCATCCCTGCTGGGACCTGGAGGATGAAGCAAAAAATATTTGCTCATTTTTCAAGCTCTTTGTATTCTAAATATGGGCTACAGAGTGAGACTGTCTCAAAAAATTCTGATGGGAGAGAACAGATGCTTTATATTATGTTCTATTCTGCAATCTAAATACTAAACTTATGAGTAGCAAACTGTTGCTGAATGATTTCCTGAAAAAACCAGAATGAGTTATCTTCTGGGGGTCCCACATAAAAGCAATCTCAATACCCCAGAATCTTAGAAGTCCTTAAGATGTGTTTTTGGAATCTTCCTTTCTTTTACCTTCTACTGGAACACAGAAGACACTTACTCAAATTGTTCATAAACAAATAAAAATTCTAAATACAAAGTAATATTGATTAGTATGAGGCCTAATCAACATCTCTACAATCTGAAAATCAGAAAACTCAAATTCATCTTTTTTTTTTTTTTTTTTTTTAGGTGGTACTGGGGTTTGAACTTGGCTTCATGCTTTCTAGACAGACATTCTACTGCTTGAATGAAAAACTGACCTTTGAAAACTCTGTTGCTTTGGGAGGGTATGACTGGAAAGGGTGATGAAAAGTGAGTAATATAGCAAAATATTTAACAGTGGATTTCAACAATATCACTGCTTCACTCTATTCAAATAATTCGGCCTGAACACACACTACAATTTAGTGTGTTGCCTCTTCAGGAGTCAAACTCTGTAAAGATACTGTTTTTATCTCCAAGAGGACATCTAAATTGTTAATCAGGGAATATTATGACATTTCAGTCTCTGACTTGCCATTTTTGGCAGGGAGGTAAAAATTCATTTATAATCTTGGTTTCCCAAAACAAATCCAAAAAGATAAGAAAAATGACAGAGATAATGCAAACACTGTATCTTTTAACAACCTTTTTTTTTTTTTTTTTCCTGTTTTGGTGTTAATGGGGGTTAAACTCAGAGCCTTGCCATGAGTAGTCATGCCCCTAGCTCTTTTTGCTTTAGTTATTTTTGGGACAGGGTGTCAAGCTCTGCCTAGATGAATGTGGACCGCAATCCTCCTTACGCCTGTTGTGTAGCTGGGATTACAAACGTGAGCCACCCACACCTGGCACTCACTCACTCTTGACACACAAACCAGAGCTGAGGTGCTAATCTACAGTCTACTGGGGGACCACACCCCAAAACCCTCAGAATAGGAATGCTCCATAATTCCTGTTTTGTATGGAAGGTGGCCCAACCATACTTAGACAAGCATATACTCTCCTTTGTTTCTGGGTAGGCACTCAGGGCCTGTGTGCAGGCCCTCTACCCCACAGCCCTTTTTACTTCAGTTGTGTTTTAGACAGGGTCTTCGATTTTTGCCTAGAGCCAGTTTTGGACTACAGTCTTCCTGCCTACGCCTCCCACACAGCTGAAAGGACAAGTGTTGTGCCATGCTGAGCTTATTGGTTGATACGGGGCCTAACTTTTTGCTTGGGTTGGCCTTGAACTGTGACCCTCCAGATCTCTGCCTCCCAAGCAGCTGGGATTATAAGTGTGAGTCACGGTGCCTGGCCTTTTTTTTGGGGGGGGGTAACTAGGAATCGAGCCTGAGCCTAATACATGCTAGGTACCCTGCTTTTCCATGTATGTTTCCTTTTCATCTTAAAATTACAGCGTATCAGGCAGGAAGCTTTTGACAGATCATCTTCTTTACAAAAAGCCTGAGATACTGTTGGATAGTCTTAAAAGTTCAAACAAAATAAAGTATTTTACAGGTTAGTTCTGTGTAGTAAAGAATTAACTTTATGCAGTCGGACACAGTGGCTTACGACCAGTTACTCAGGAGGTGGAGATTAGAAGGGTTGAGGTTTGAGGTCAGCCTGGCAAAAAGTTAACCAGATCCCCATCTCAACAAATATGTCAACAAGTAAGCTGGATATAGGGGTGAACAGCTGTAATACCAGCTACTCAGGAGACATATGTAGGAGGATGGCTGTGTGAAGGCAGGTCTGGGCAAAAGTGAGACCCTATCTGAAAACAACCTATAAGTAAAAAGGGCTAGATGTGTGGTTCAAGTGGTAGAGCACTTGCTTAGCAAGTGTAAGGCTATGAATTCAAACCCCAGACTGCCAATTAAAAAAAAAAAGAAGCTCTTGGGGAAGGCTGTAAATCCTTAAATGTCCTACTTGATATGTCTTTGTTTACTTGGGGGCCCTGGGCCACACCACATAGTCTAAACAACTGATTTGTGGTAGGGGACTTTAGGCTGGAAACTAAAGGCCAGTCACATGGGCACTTAAGCATGTGCCAAGCCCCAATAGACCTCTGGACACCAAGTCCCAGGTAAGCTTCCACAGTTGGTGATTCAGTCACATGCTGCTGCTGGGAAAGGTCAGCACCGTCCATGACTCCACTGAAGAAGACAACCAGAAGCCAAGTTCAGCCTGGAACTTTCTGGATTGCCCCACACATCTCTTTCCTCAGCTGATTTTAGTCTTTTTTTTTTTTTTGCTGTAGGAAGCTGTAACTTGGTGTAAACAGCTTTCAGTGTTGGTCTTAGAAACTCTTGAACTTGAAACTGGTGTCAGAAGTGAGGATGGTTTTGAGTTTTTTTTTTTTGTGGTCATGGGGTTTAAACCCAGGGCCTTGGTGCTTGCCAGGCAGTTGCTCTACCACTTAAGCCATACCTTCAGTCCTGGACTTCCAAAGTTACTTAATCAAGAATTTGTCACTCATGCCTGGCACAGAAGTGCACACCTGCAATCCAAGCACTCAGGAGGCTAGGGCACAAGGATCAAGAGTTCTATGCCACCTTGGGCTACATATTGGGTTCCAGACTAGCCTGGGATACACAGTGAGACCCTTTTTTTTTTTTTTTAAAGCTATTGATGCTAAATTTTCCTAAATCCCTAGTAATTCACATTTAAGATTTATATAGTTCCTCTTTAAAAAACATACTAATGATATTCTTCACAGAAGTAGAAAAGCAATCCTAAAATTCATAGGAGAGCACGAAAGACCCTGAGTCAGAACAATTCCAAAGGGGAAAATGCCAGAGGTATCACAATACCTGATTCCAAATTATATTATACAGCCATAGTAACAAAACAGCACGGCACTGGCATGTAGACAAATGGAACAGAATACAGAACCCAGAAATAAACCCAAGCATCTATAGCCACCTGACTGTCAACAAAGGTGCTAAAAACATACGTTGGAAAAAGGCAGTCTCTTTAACAACTGGTGCTAGGAAAACTGGATACCTAGAAGACTGAAACTAGACCTCCCTCTCTCACCCTGCATAAAAATCAACTCAAAATGGATTGAAGGCCTTAATGCAAGACCTGAAACTGAAATTACTATAAGAAAACACTTCAAGATCTAGGCACAGGCAATGACTTTCTGTCACTGACAGACTCAATAGCTCAGGAAATAATTCTAAGAACTGACAAATGGGATTGCATCAAATTAAAAAGCTTCAGCTCAGCAAAGAAAACAATTACCAAAGTAAACAGACAGCCTACAGGATGGGAGAAAATTTTTGCAAGCTATTCATCCAACAGTGGATTAATAACCAGAATACATAAAGAACTTAAAACACCAGATGAACAAGTAATTCAATTAATAAACAGGCAAATTGAGCAGAAACTTCAAAAGAAATACAAATGGCCACTACAGACATGAAAAATGTTCAATATCTTTATCCTTCAGTAAAATGAAAATCAGTATTACATTGAGATTCCATCTTCCTTCTCCCCAGTCAGAATGGCTATAATGAGAAAACAAAAAAGAATAAATGCTGGTAAGGATGAGGGGTGGGAATAGGCAAAGCTCATACACTGTTGGTGGGAATGTAAATTAGTGCAGCCACTGTGGAAATCAGTGTGGAAATCAAAAATCTAAAACCAGAACTGCCACACGATCCTGCTACATCACTCCTGGGTACATACACCCACAGGCACACAAGTCAGCATACAATAGAGACACCTGCGCTCCATGTTTATCACAACACTATTCACAACAGCCACAGAGGTGCCTGCCAATGGATGAATGGATAAAGAAAATATGGAATATATGTACCATGGAGTATTATTCAGCCACAAAGAATAAAATCACACCACCTGCAGGAAAATGGATGAGGTGGAGATCATCACATTAAGCAAAATAAGCCAAACACAGGTAGACAAATATCACGTTTTCTCTCATATGTGAAACTAGGGGGAAAAAATATAAAGAAGGGGCATTACCAGGGGAGAGGAAGCAGACCTCAGGGAGGAGAAATAGCTGGGGGCCTTGGGGGTGAATATGATCTAAGTATGTTACAGACACATGCAAGAAAATGTCAATGAAGCTCACTATTTTGTACAATTAATACATGCTAATAAAAAATAGATACATTAAGGCAAATACTTACAGCACCAAATAAGTCCTTCCCAAGACTCTGGCCAAAGCCATTAACACTCAAAATGGGAATCAAGCTGAGGCTGCAAACTGCCTGGCCTGTAAAGGTTACAGTTCACCTGAGGTGGCTACAAATGCCAGGATCATACCGAATCAATTCCTGTCACACATGGACCTCACTGTAAAGTGTACTTAAGCTTACTTGAAGTCCAGTTACTTTCATAAAAGACAAATTGTAATCCAAATCTGAAATATACAAGTTAAAACTGCCAACTCATGAATTTTTAAAAGTCAAAAATATAAAAAACCCCATTAAAGTTTAAAATTCAGTGGGCTGTTTGCCACTTTAGAAACTTTATGTAAACAAAAAATATTTGATGGAAGATTCTCATATACTTCTTAGTCACTTTTCAAACAAAAATTTTTCAAACGTCTTAAGAGAAATTCTAGTATTCTCCATACTTGTAACAAGCGCTGGATTAAGAAGTTTGTGATAAACTGTCATACCTCATGTCCCCACATATTGACCTTTACCCAAGTAGAGTCAGGTTTCAGAAGTGCCCGTCTATAATTCCAAAGGAGCATTTAAAATGGTAACACAGACTTTGAGAAGAAAAACACTCAATAAAATTTCATTTAAATCTCAGGTAGCAGCCTATCACCAAACTGTTAGGCTATAAGATGTAATTTTGGGGCCTGGCATGGTAGTTCACCCCTGTAATATCGGCTACTTGGGAGGTGGAGATCAGGATTGTGAAGTCTGGAAAAAAAGTGAGGCTGAGGCAGGCTAGGAGTAGGAAAAGTTTGGGGCTCATGGAGGTTGACCAGGGATGGCCCAGACCTCCCACACCTGGCGGGAAACCAGCCATGCCCCTCCCCACGCACTGATTACTGGATGGGAATCTCTTGGGTCTGCCCTTCCCATATGTTAGTGTAGGTTTTAAAAGCACCTCAAAATGAAAAGTAGAAAAAGGCTGGGGGCATGGAACCAGTGGTATAGCGCCTGCTTAGCAAGCTTGACGCCCTCAGTTCAAAATCCAGTACTTCCAAAAAGATTAAAATAATAATTTTTTTTAGTACCAGGAAAGCAACACTGTACCAAACAGACCTGATAATTCAATGAAGAATTCAGACTAAGATCTTTAAAGTACACCAGTACACACTGCCTGATCTAAAGCCATACATCTAAACACGTAATCAGTTTTATCTTATCTCCTAGCAGTGCTTAGAGAAGATCACTACTTCTGAAGGAATAGTGCAGGGAAACTGGAATTGAGAGGAAGATTTTGGGGAAGGAGGCTGGGGGGTAGTACTGGGGTTTGAACTTAGGGCCTTGAGCTTACTAGGCAGGAACTCTACCAGTGGAGCTATGCCCCCAGCCCTTTTTGCTTGGGCCAGACTCATAAGGTGATCCTCCTATGTATGCCTCCTGCATGGCTGGGATTATAGTGTACACCACCACACCCAGCTTGTTTGCTAAGATGGGGTCTTGCTAACTTTTTGCAGGGTGCAATGATCTTCCCAATCTTTACCTCCTGAGTAGGTGGGATTACAGATTTAAGTCCCTTTACCGAGGGGAAGGTTGTTAAAGGTTATTTTGGGTATGTTTTTGTGTGAGATGCAAGCAATCCAGCACAGAACAAAAACTGCTAATGAGGGGAAAATTGCTAAAGTGACAGACACCCTGAGCAAGTGAGAAGAGGTTAAGATTTAGTGGAGAAAAAGGTTTAGACAGAAGCAAAGATAACTGAGCTAGGATAACAGGGAAAGAAAAATGTGGAGGTGGTACATATAGGGGTGATAGTTTGCAGAAGTTCTCTTAGCACATTAGTTTTCTCAGGTGAAGAAAATATTTCAGGCAACTTAACATGCAAACAAAAAAGCAAACACTACTGGTCTGCAATAAATGTCTTATTTGAGTCGTTCCTATTAACCCATGTTAATATGGGAATGTACTAAAGATGCTCCTCTGCCTCTACATCTAACTAGGCATCGGCTAAAAGTTCAACATGTGTAAGGCTCACCAATAAAATCTGTGACAAACAGGAAAGTGAGGAAAATTCATCAATTACATTTTTATGCTCTGGTAGAAGGCTCATTTCTATGATGATAAATCACTTACTTCAAGTTTTAGATTAAAGGACACTGACTATTAAAGATTTTCTCCTAAGAAAAGAAAGAATATTCTAAAATTTTACATGTAAAAGCTCAATGTACTTTTCACAGCAGGAGACCCTGACCTTACTTATGTGGGGCAATGAAAGTGTTCAAAAGCGCTTACCAACAGTGGTCACAGGAGGCTGGGAAGGGTACTGGGAACTTGTTGTAGCAGGGTATGGACCACCAGGTGGGTAAGGACAGCCTGGGTAACCACTAGAGAAAAGAACAAGAAACATTAAATGTTAAGATGACACAACACTAAAGTATTTTTAAGAACCTCATGCAGGAAGTTAAGCTTGACCTATCACCTTACTAGTTAATAAATTTAGTTTTAGATCTAAAATGAGTTTAGTTTTGAAGCTAAAGGTGTTTATTCAAGGATTCTATGGAAATTCCATCATATGACACTAGATTTAAGTGGTCACATGTTCTTGCTTAGCTCTGATATCTGAGGTTCACCTTCACAACAGCAAAACCAGAGTATTTCTAAGGGCAAAATCCAACAGTAACAGAAGCAACAAAACTTTTGAGAGAACTTTTCTGTTCTGACTTCCTAGCCTATAAAGAATTGACAATATTCAATCCAAAAATACTCCTCTTTAAATAGTTTGTAAAAAACATTTCTTCTGACTTTATGGATAGTCTGTGTCATCCATGTATTCATATCAAAGTCAGAAGGAACTTTCTGTAGAGATGTTCTCCTTAAATCTGGCCACAAACTATCATCTGAAAATAACATTTACAGTATTTCTGACAAATGCTCATCTTCCGCTATAACACCAGACATTGCTGTTACATAATTTTCAATTAAAGGTCCTAAACTTGCATTCTGGAAGAATACTTGAACATTTGAAGACTGCTGATATTCAAAATACTTGAAAAATAACATTCCTCCCTCAAGTCTTCTCTTCTTTAGGTTAAAGTCTTTTTTCTTCTTGTTTTAGCAGTCTAGGGTTTGAAATCAGGATCTCATCCTTTCTAGGCAGGTGATCTAGCACTTCAGCCATGCCTGCGGTCCTTTTGTACTTCAGTCTCGTTTTTGCCTGGGGATGGCCTCAGACTCTGATCTTGCAAAATAGTCCAACTTTAGCAACAATACTTGTATTTACTGTTTGAGTCACTGATTTATTCTCTTTAGGACAAAAGGAGAAAAGAATGGTTCTGACACTCTTCTGCCAAGAGCTTTTTATATACAGGAAAATACAGGTGACAATAGAAATGTAACTGCATTGGTAACTCACTAGCAGAGCATGTTATGCTTTAAAGGTTGTATTTCACAGGGGAGAAGCAAGCATTAAATATTTGAAAAATAGCTGCCTCAAAGAGGGATTTCTTACAAATAATTTCTTACAAATAATCTCACAGGATTTTACCTAAGACAGCAATAAGATTTACATTTTTGTCAGTATTTTCAGTTTTATTTACAAGTTTCTTTTAAGTCGCTTTATTGTTCAGGAGTCCATTTCCTTATTATACTTTCAACAACTGTTTCCTCTAGGTCCAAAGTTCCTTTTGTATTACCATCTGCTAACTGTAAACACCTGTAATTTTAAGTCTTCAAACAGGATTCCATTTACACAACTTAATCAGAAAATACAGGGCTTTGAGAAGTCTAAAACTTATAACTTGTACATATATCACTATCATAGGAATTTTTCCCTTTTGTCCCTGGTAAGTGTTCTTCTAGTCTCTGCTTATGTATTTAAAGTAACAGAATGCTTATTACAAAATGCCCCCAAAATTAAGAAAGGCCCAAAAATGATCAAAGTTTGCTGACTTCAACTTTCAAGATCCTGTATGTATGTATGTACATGTATCTCTACACATAGATATGTATCTATGAGAGGTGTTCAGGAAATCTAGCTATATTTGTCTATGAAGATTATGTTTGGTTATATAAAACTAGGGATAGTGCTTACATTTTATTGTTAATTATTAGAATAGCTGAAAATCTCATCTAGGCATCAGAATGTGCCAGTCTTGCATTTTAAATTACGAAGATCACCTTTGGCAAATACTCCTAGATTAAAACTATAACAAGAACACATTTAAAACACATGGTAATAATTACTTCTCTTTGACTTTCTCCAGTGTCACCTATACACTATTTCACTATTAATTCAATTTACCCATATTATGTTATTACCAAATAGATAATAAAGTTTAATAAATACAGTCTACAAACTAAATGAAATTATTACGGGACATGTCTGGTCCCATCAGATGTATCATTAATTGATTCTTTGTAAGGAATAGAAAAGCTTTCCTTTTTCTTTAAAAAGGGAGGAGGTATTACATACTAAAATATTTTTCTCCTTGGCTGAATTCACTATAACCAGCATTTCACTAACCTTCAACTAACAACACTGGATATGCAAAGTTCTTTAAAGGACTTAGCAAGGATTTCAAAGTCTAAAATCAATCAAGATAATTGTCAGTACTAACCTACCACTTTCCTTTCCATAAATAAAATGCAGTTGCATTTCTCCATAATAGAAAAAATTCCTTCCAAACTATGTACACATTCTGTAAAATCCTATCAATAAATAAAGCTTTATCTTCCACTGAATTTCAATTATATTTATTTAATGCCCTAATTAGTAACCATTATTCTGATTCAAAATCAAATGCAAAAAATTTGATACAATTATTCAAAAGATAAATTTTCAGTACCTGGGATTGGGAGGGTATCCAGATGGGTACGCAGAGATTCCACTTGGCATGCCTGGGATGTAGGAGGCTAAACACAATGTTTAACATTTTAAGATAATATGCAACAGGCAATTATGAAGGCTACTGAGTAAGGTAGGTATCACTGTCAAACCACAGCAAAATGTCACAAAGAGGATTCAAATCCCAGCCTCAAAACAAAACAAACATCTGGATATTAGTTCTTTATTTCAGGCAGGTAATATTTTGAAATCAAGTAATTCTCAAATCATTAGACATGAGTTACAACACTCATGAAAGCCTCAACAAGAAATAACTGGCAAACAGGTCAACCTGGTCAGCTCCATAAGCTCTCAAGTCTAAAACTTGAGACAAGAGGTGGTTCAATCTGTAAGTTAGAAAAAGGTGATTTTGGCCCCATTTAGTCCAAGATCAGCTTCTTAGAAAGTGACCTCTATTGTATCTTAAAAATAATTTTGTTATTTTTTTAAGACTGTTGCCCGATTAGCACAGCTGGTTTTGTTGGCTTGTTTGAGAAGTTTGAAAGATTTCAAATTACTATGAGAAGTGCTACACAGAACTTACATTCATATTCCTCTAGCCAGGTTAAAAATGAAACAAAAGTTTGAAAGTACTAGGGAAAAAAAGGTTAAAATCCAGCAATCTTAAAGAATGTGTTATACATTCTTCAATGAGGGCACTAGTGTCACAGAACTAAGATAGTGCCAAGAGGCTAACAGGAAAAAAAGAAGATATTTTGCTTTTAGCTGGAAAAGGTGTGTTCCCAGAATCAATTTTTCCTCAGTAAAACCTTTTTCATTGAAGGCAGTGGTGAATTAACCCTTAAGTAAATAAATAAATAGTTTAGTGCCTTCTATGTGATAGGAATGAGGGATCTGATGAAGGGAGGGGAGGGAAGTGGGAAGGGGAAGAAGAAGTGAAAGGAAAAGAGAAGAAGGTGAATTCCTGGTGTTAAGTTGCTTACATTCTAGTTGAGGTGATTAAACTAGTCAAAAGTAATAAAGAGTGATCATGTTCTGTGTATATGTTAAATATGATGACAGGAGAAGTACAAAGTGCTGTATATGGGATCATCTAGATAAGAGTGCTAATCCAAACCTAGGAGATGGGGTAAACAAAAGTGATGTAGTAGAGAAATGATACATAAAGCTTGAGGTGGAGAAACATGGCGCCTTCAAAGAACCAACTTCAAGAGCACAGAATGCAAGTGGGAGGGAGAAGTATAGCAGGCTCCTAGCAAGGGCCTTCCAATCCTTTACCAGAATTGCTGAACATACATCTCCAAGTACCAGTGTTCACAGTCTTCTTGTTAGGATCTATAAGTAAACTTCTACTGTCAAAAGTAAATTTTTTAAAAGTATAATGAAATAAGAATGATGTTCAATATTTTACAAAGGGAAAAGAATTTCTCAAGTGTCCCAATTGTTAGATTCCATAAGAATATTTTTTCTTTCCAGGCATAAAGCACAGTTGACTTTTATGAACATCCATGTGACAAGGGCAATATTAAGCATTTGGAACACACATAGTCAATTACCCCCTACTCTTATGTTAGTTTTTCTCTCATCTATACAAACCACCATCTCATAATGAGCAATTTCTTCATAATTATAAGCAATTTTCCTTTTCTAAAATTCTAGAAAGCTAATAATTTCACCAAAGCCTTCAAGTTACAATTTTTGGGAAACAATGAATATCATTTAGATCCAAGCAGCAAGAAAGCAGATAGTAAGGCAAAGTTATTTTAGAGCCACAATAAAATGGGACATCAGTCTACATGGGGTAATTGTGAGGATTAAATGAAAGTGATGTATGAAGGACTTAGCTATGACTCAACTGCCACAATAAATGTGGATTACTACTGTTGCCAAAAAATGAGGTTTAACTATAATGCTGTTTTACAGGTTTTGGTGCTATATGCCTAACTATAATGCTGTTTTTAATGTGACTAACTCATAGCAGCTCAAAAGTCATCTTAAGAGATTTTAAAATGTTCTAAGCAATGATAATAATAAATGTATAATTTCTCAGCTATAAGATAATATTTACTTAAATATGTTTACAAATTTCTTGGCTATTCCTTGTTATATGTGTGTGGAGGGATAGAATTCAGACCTTTATTTCTTTATAGTCAAAAATAAATATTTATTTATGTAATTATGTATACACATAAGTATGTATGTATACATATATTACATAAATGTATAAAAACTTCATTAAAGATGGAATGGATGGAGAATAAATTGGTCTCTTTTAGTAGTTTACTTAAATTAGCTCTAGAGTGTTTAATAGCTTACAGTGAGTACCAAACTGAACAGCAGCAGTGACCAGAGCGTGGTTTCTTTCTAGAATATTGCATTTCTATGGTCAATGAAAACTGAAATAAATTTATCAAAAAGAAAGTGTTGCTTATGATGGGCGCATGGGTCACACCTGTAATCCTAGCTACTCAGGAGGCAGAAATCAGGAGGATCGCAGTTTGAAGCCAGTCAGGGCAAACAGTTCATGAAACCCTATCTCAAAAATACCCAGCACAAAAAGGGCTGATGGAATGGCACAAGGTGTAGGCCTTGAGTTCAAGCCCTGGTACTGCAAAAAGAAAAAAAAAGTGTTGCTTAGAAGACTAAATTTCTGAAAAGCTTACCTTTGTAACTTAAGTGGTAACTGCCTATGTCATCTGAGCAAATAAACAAGAATGATGAGAATGGGAAATATTTGGTATTTCAAACTCAAATAAGCAATATTCTCTACTTATGGGTACTATTTCCATTCTGCTCCTCAAGAAAGAATGTGTTAAAAAGGAAGAGGATGATTTTCAGCAGGAGAAAAATGAAAGCTCACATAATTTATGTAAAAATAACTAAGGCCAGGGGTGATGGCACATGCCTATAATACCAGTACATGAGAGGCAGAGGTAGGAGGATTGGGAGTTTAAGGCCAGCCTGGGCTACATTGTTAAGACTCTTGTCTCAAAAACCAAAATGACAAAAAAAGATAAATAAGCTTGGTTAATTTACTCATAAGTAAAATTTACCAGAAAAATCATAGCTCAAAACACAAAGAAATCAATACAAATTTAGTAAAGTCAAAACAAGTAAGTACAATCAATTCCCAATTTTTCAGGGTGGTTTTATAAACTAACAGTAAGAATTACTTACATAAATAGGTAACAGGGATAGTATATAACAATCAGAGAAGAACTGGTACATTTCCATGCACCCACCCTTCCACACAAGGTAAAAGCATGAACTGACTGTACTAAAGAGAAGAAAGCTGAGAGCTAGATGTCCAACTGTGCATACCCAGAATAGCTGAATGTGAATGACTTAGTCCACCTTACAATTAATTTTTATCTGATCCTGAAGCTACAAAGAGAAAAGAGAGGTCAGACTACCTTTCAAGTTATACTGCTTCCCAGTTGCTCAAACAAGGCTATTCTATGATATGCATAATTTAAAAAATTCTAGCTCTAGTCCAGCATTTTCTCCTCCATTTTGGAATTTAGTACATCCACACTTAGATTTCTACCCACAAATGGAATCCCCAATGGCAGTCTTTGGTAGGAATCTGTACATACAAATGTGGGGCCTCAGAATACCTCCAAAAGTTCCACTAACTTGACAAGCTAAAAGCAAAGTGAAGTTATTAAAATATTTTATAAATCTTTGTTTTATTTTGTTTATGTAAGTTTAAAAATCAAATTTTAATTCTACTTACTATTTGGTGGCCCTGTTGCTTGGTATGGTGGATATGATGCTGAAATAGTAGGACGAGAGAAGACTGGAGGTTCCTCACCAAATACCACAATCATGACCTGAATAAGTCCCAACAAATCTGACTGCGGCTAAAAAGAGAACAAATTAATGTCAGTGACGGTCACTTTTCAGCAAAAAAAGAGAAGTTTGGCTATTTCCCAACTCAGTTTGACAATTTTGTTTAAGACTCCAACAAAAAAATTCCATTTAATTAATCAATTTAACAAAAATGTTTTAAAATCACTTTTTGTGTATTTGTGACAGGGCTCTTGCTTCATGTATATAAAAATACAAAAAACACTAGCCAAAGCAGTATTTTCAAAGTTAAGATAGTATTCTTCTTCATCTGATTCCAAGAGCTAACCAAAGCTTTTATCGTCAATGGGCAATTCAAATATACTGGGGCAAACTCAGGAATGAATATAAGCAGTAGTCACAATATCATTCAAAGCCAATAAAGGATAGCAATGTTACCTTGGAAACACTTTTTTTTTCAGACAAGGTCTTACTATGTAGCCCAGACTGGTCTTGAACTTGCAATCCTCCTACCTTAGCCTCCAAAGTGCTAGAATGGAATTATAGGCATGAGTCATTATGCCTAACTGAAACACATTTTTAAAAATTTTTATTAAAGGTAGTATTATGAAATCTGAATTACATATACACTCTAGCTTAAAACTTACTGTACTGGGCCAAGTGCCAGTGGCTTACAACTGTGATCCTAGCTAAACAGGAGGCAAAGCTCAGGAGGTTCGAGGTTCAAAGCCAGCTTGGACAAATAGTTTGAGAGACCTTCTCTTAAAAATACTCAACCCAAAGAAGGGCTTGGCAGTGTGGCTGAAGTGGTAAAGTGCCTGCCTAGTAAGCATGAGGCCCTGTATTCAAACCCAATACCATAAAAAAAAAAAAATTACTGGACTATAGCACAAAACAGAAATTGTTAAAAGGATCTTTCTTTCCAGTAAAGGTTGCAGAGAGAGTGGTTGTTTTCCATAAGGGTGACTAAGATTTTTCTTCAAATATTTACTGACCACTAATTTAAGACAAACTATGTCAGGCAAAGTTGTTCAAACTGGCTTATTTGATGGTTCTACTTTTACTCTTTAATCTATTTTTGCCCATTTCTCATTTCATATAGTTCTTCCATGATCTCATCAGTTTTTGAAGTTAATCATCTTAGTCAGCTAACCACCTCTGTAACTTTATTTTTTACTTCTCCTCATAAAAGAACCTTTCCAAAGAACCAAACTCATCTCATTTGTTTGATTCTGACCCACCTTCTGGATGATGACAATAACAATTCCCAAAGCTTTCCTGTTAAAACTTGCTGATTCCCACTATTCTAACACCCTTTTTTGTGTCTGTCTGAATGAATATGCTGAGACTGAGGATAAACTCGTGCAGTATCTGTGCAGCACTCAAGGGTGTGCACTAGGGAAAGCAGGTGGTATGAGGTATAGCCATTGATACCACACGTGCCTATTTCTTTTCCCTTTTTGGAGGGTGCGGGGACAGGGGATACATCGGGTCTAACTATGTAGCCCAGGCTGGTGGAATTCACTATATATCCCAGGTTGGTCTTGAATGTATGATCCTCCTACCTCTACCTCCCAAAACTGGATTATAGGCATATGTCACCATGCCTGGTTTTTCCAATTTTTTAATTCAACAGAACTCTCAATATAACATTGTATGCACATATAAATAAAAGAAAAAAAACTAAAGAAAAAACTCTCAATATAAATCCTAGCCTTATGCAAGCTTTTTAAAAATGAGATATAATTCACATACCATACAATTTAGTCTTTTAGAGCATGCAGCTCAGTGCTTTCATTTTGCTCATAAAGCTGTGCAACCATCACCACCACTGAAGCACAGAACATTTTCATCATCCCAAAAATAAACCCTGTAATCATAAGCAGTCATTTCTTATTTTCCTCTCTCTACAGCCCTTGGCCACCACCAATCTTTTTGTCTCTACAGATTTGCCTCTTCTAGATGTTTCATTGGATGATTCTGGATGAATCATACAGTAAATCACCTTTTTGTATCTGGCTTCTTTTACTTAGCATAGTATTTTCAGTGTTCATCCATATTATAGTATGACTCAGTTCTCCATTCATGCATTCTTATAATCACAGCTTTGTCTAGTTTTAATTATCATACCATTCCTTTCACATTAAATTCTCTAAAAGAAGGTAAATAAACCCAATCTTTAATATCTACATGTAGGCCTATTATAAAGCAACAGGTTATAAAATTCAAACTAATTCTAAATAACTTACTAAGTGGATACAGAATATGAAAAAACATAGCAAGAATATTATAGCAATTTATTTTAACTTAAACACCTAAGGAGCAATTAATAAAAGGACAATAGCATTATAAAATTTCTTTCTCATTAAAAAATCCCATAAGCTAAAAGAACAAAATTTCTCTCTATTCTGTTTTAACTTGTTTCCATTTCCAGTAAGCAATTAAAAAAAGTAATATTTTACATCTTAAGCAGTATATGATATTTAGGATTTGGACTAAAAAACAATTTAACTAGTAAGATCAAGATGAATGACAGCAGTCATAGTTTATGTTCTGACTCATGTGAGACTATTATGAGGCTTCCATTTTACTTACTTGTTATGATTGACACAGTTTTCTGCAATAGTTCATGCTCCTCCCTCCTTTCATACCAGAGAATTGTTGCTTAGAGTAAGCTGACTACACTTTCCAGTCCTACTTGCAAGTAGTATTTACCAAAAGGATATAGCAGAAGTGATTTAACTTCTAAGGGCTTAACTTCTAAGACAGGTGGATACAAAAGGATACATTTTTCTTTTGAGTGGTACTGGGGTTTGAACTCAGGGCCTCAAGCTTGCTAGGTAGGCACTCTAATAAATGAGCCACTCCGCCAGCCCAAGGATACGTTCTTTACTACTCCCTCTTTGCTCTTCCTGTATGCAGAGGACTCTAGAGTCTTGAGAGATGATAGCATCACAAATTGGAAAGAGCCTGAGTCCCTGAAGCATTAAGTGGAGAAAAGCTGCCTGCCAACGAAGGTACATACCCAGTGGACTATGATGTAGGCAAGAAATTCCTGCGATGTTAAACCTCTAATATTTTGAGATAGGGATTACTAATTAGGTTGCTAACTAATATATGTATCTACGAGGATCCTCCATGGTTTCACCTCCTCTATTATACCAAAGTTAGCGTAATTTCTTACCAGATTTGTGAAATACTTCATACATACAAAAAATGCATACGTATTACATATGTAAAGTTACATATGTAACTTTAATGAGTAAGTACCTGTGTAGCCATTGTCTAAGTTAAGAAACAGAAGACTGAACTGGGGGTGTAGCTCAAGTGACAGACTAGGCTTTCAGTTTAATCCTCAGTATCACCACCCCACACACACAAAAGAAAAATAAAAGATTATCAATAATAAGCTCCTCCTGTTTCCATTCCTTACTAAATTCTTCTCTATCTACCCTACAGGTAAGCACTTCTCTGACTTATTGGACATTCTTTTGCATTACTTTAAGTACATCGCTACGATTTCCTAAACTATGTAAGACTTAATTTTACCTGTTCTTTTCATAAGAATTAAATAAAGGTATATATTCTACTGAGACTTGGTTTTTTATAAGATTCATTCCTGTTAAAGAGCATACATGTAGTTAATTCATTTTCACTACTTGTAATGTTAAACTGAATGAATACATTATTACTTCACTTATTCCTTTTTTTTTTGCGGTACTGGGATTTGAACTCAGGGCCTACACCTTGAGCCACTCCACCAGCCCTATTTTTGTGAAGGGTTTTTCGAGACAGGGTCTTGTGAACTATTTGCTCAGGCTGGCTTTGAACCGCGATCCTCCTGGTCTCTGCCTCCTGAGTACTAGGATTACAGGCATGAGCACCACCAACACCAGCTTCCTCATTGTTGATAGTCACTTGATTTATATCTAATCTCGACTACTAATGACACTGGTATCAATATCCATACTTATTAACCAGTACTTGGTTGTAAGGATTACTTTTGTGCAGTGTTCTCAACTGAGGATAGCATATTTGCCTTCCAGGAGATATTTTTAAATGTTGGGAAGATGAGTGTGGTGGCACACACCTGTAAACACAGCTACTTGGGAGGCAGAGATGGGAGGATTGAGAGTTTGAGGACAGATCAGGCAAATGTAGTAAGACCTTATCTGAAAAAAAACTAAAAAGGGCTGGGGGTATAACATGCATGAGGCTCTGGGTTCAATCCCCAGTACTGCAAAAAGAAAATATCTGGAGATATTTTTGGTTGTTGTGACTGAATGTTTATGCTACCAGCAGCATGTGGGCAAAGGCCACAGATCCTAAATAGTGAACAGGATAGCCTTCCCATAACAATGAATTATCCAACCCACAACATCAATATTGCTGAGGTTAGGAAACCCTCATGTTTATACAAAGCAGCGGAACTGCTACGTGTGTGTACTTACAACTTCACTGAGTAATGCGAGACTGGTTTTCAGAGTTTTGCCAAATTTACTGCCACCAGCAGTGTTTATAAGTTCCCTTTACTTCACATACTTACCTACCCTTGGTCCTATCAACTGCTGGTACAAATCTGATGGGTATGTAGCAGTACCTTATTATACTTTAAATTTACATTTCTCCAACTACTATACAAGGTTAAACACCTTTTCATGTTTACTGCCCATAAGCATTTCTCTTTTGTGAAGTGCTAGTTCACAAAGTCTTTCCTAAACTTTTCTATAGGTTTCTTTCTCTTAACAATTCACGAGTTATTTATATATTCTGGATATTACTATGTGGGCTATAAGCATTACAAATATATCCTTCCAATGTGTGGTTAGTCTTTTAACACTTTTTAACATATCATTTATGAATAGTTCTTAATTAGTATAAACTCAAGGTAAATATTAGTCTTGTCTTTTATATAATATACTGTGGCTGTCTTTTTTTTTTTTCTTTAATTGTGATAGGGGTACATTGTGGCATTTACAAAAGTTCTTACAATATATCAAATATATCATACTTGAATTCACCCCTCTATCATTCTCCTTTATCCCCTCTCCCCATTCCTGGAGCAGTTTCAACAGGTCTCATTTTTCCATTACATACATGTGCACACAGAATTTGTACCATATTCGCCAACCTACTCCCTTCCCCCACACACCCTGGTGCCCCCCAGACAGGATCTCAGGATCTGTTCCATCCTTCTGCTCTCCAATTTTATAAAAGAAAAGAAAAATGACATTCTTGTTTGTTTAAGATAGCTCTACAGGGAGTTTCCTTATTACATTTCCATGTATATATGTATTATAACCTGAATTGGTTCATCTCCTCTATTTTTCTCTTTCTATCATAGTCCCCCTTTTTATGGTGATTTCAGCAGATTTAAAAATTCTATATTCATTCTTGTATAGGAAGTACCTCAACCATAATCACCTTCTTAATTTCCTTTTATCTCCCTCTCTTGGAGTGACCTCCCCTTAGCATGACCTGTTTTTCATAATATTATTTGTATTAGGCCTGTATTCCACATATGAGAGAAAACATGCAGACTTTGGTTTTCTGAATCTGGCTAACTTCACTTATGATAATGTTCTACAATTTCATCCATTTCATTCTTCTTTGTGGGTGAATAAAATTCCATTGTATATTAATACCACATTTTCTTAATCCATTCACCAGTTGTGGGGCATCTTAGCTGTTTCCATAGCTTAGCTATTGTGAATAATGCTGCAATAAATGACTGTGCAGGTGCATGGCTGTCTTGTTAAAAAGAAAATCTTCTACCAGGTGCCAATGGCTCACACCTGTAATGCTGGCTACTTGAGAAGCTGAGATCAGGAGAATTGAAGTTCGAGGCTAGCCCAGGCAAAGAGTTCCTGAGGTGAATAGTTCCTGAGACCCCATCTCCAAAATAACCATATCAAAATGGACTAGTGTGACTCAAAGGGTAGAGTACCTGCTTTGCAAGTGCAAAGCCCAGAGTTCAAACCCAGCCCTACCAAAAGAAAATCCTGCAAAATCATAAACAGTCTTCTATATTATCTCTTAAAAGACTTATCCTTTTACCTTTCAATCTACCTAAAATCAAACTGTCCGAGCAGGAATCAAACTGTCCCAACTCCATTATTGAAAAGTTCATTCTGTCCTCACTGATCTACTGTAGTAAGTGTTCACATACAGTGAATTCTTTTGTAGGTTCTTTATTGTGTTCTAGCTATCCATTTGTTTATTCTTGTCACAATTCCATACCACATTAAATTACTAGTTTTCTACTATTTTTTTAATCTATAGGGCATCTTCTTAGATAATACTTTGGCTAATCTCAATTTTTTACATTTCCATATAAACTTTAGTTTTATCTCAGAAGTTCTTAAAATCAACAATTGTAGAGAACCTACTTTTTTTTTTTTTTTGGGTGGTACTGGGTTTTGAACTCAGGGCCTTGTGTTTCCTAGGTAGGTGCTCTACACTTGGGCTGTAGCCACACCTTCAGCCCAAGAACCAACATTTTAATAATACTGAGTCTTCCAATCTATGAGTAAGGATCTCTCTCCTTTGATGTCTTTAAAGTTTAAAATCTTCTCCATGAAAGACTTATACATTTTTTGTTAGTTCTACTACATCAATAACATTAAAAATATTTATCTACCAGTTTACTAATCTTCTATTCTACTAAGCCCATCTATTGAGTCCTTAATTTCTATCATTCTGTTTTCAGTTCTACAACTTCCACTTGGTTCCTTTTTAATACAATTCTCTATCTTGTAATCTATTTTCTAGAACATAATCATTTCCTAATCTGTCTGATAAGCGGGTTATCTGAGAGCAGGACCATGTCCTCTTTCTATTACCTTTATTCCTTCCTGGTTCTTTTTCTTTTAGTACTTGATAATTTAAAACCAAATGCTGGGCATTGTTCATCAAAAATTACTGAGGGTGTGTACATTATCTTCTTCCAGCAAGACTTCACCCTATCCTGAAGCAGTAAGGATACAGTAAGGATCACTTTAATAAAATTAGGGACTGAGCTGGTTCAAGGCTGATCTCTCTGTCTCAAGATATGTTTCTTCGGTGGAGTCAACTAAGAGCCTACTTGTACCCCTTCTTCTTCTTTTAATCTTGATAAGGTTCTGAACTTAACTTTCTATTCAACCTGAGACTGATGAAAAGCTATTTTTCAAAGGCCTTCTGCTTAGCTTTTTAGCATCATCTTTGAAGCTTAGGAATTCATCATCTTTCTTTAAAGGGGGAAAACTCAGAGAATCTGACTTACTTCTTTTTGGCTTCCTTTTCTTCCAAATCTTGGATCCCATTTCCTGGCTGCTCTTAAAAAAGTTGCTGCTGAACAGCAACTTTGATCTTTTCAGCCATTCTAGGTTGCTTGAAACTCTACAGGCTTCTCTGCCTTTTAGCTAAGGTTTTCTGCCTAGATTCTCAACCTCTCACTCTGTACAAGAATAAGTAAATATCATTACTGGGAAAGTTACTGGCAAAATGCTGGCTCTTCTCTTTATAGTTCCCTTCTCTATAGAATCTTGCCCCTTCAAGACTTAATTACCTGAACAGCTTTCCAAAGACTTCCAACAGATGTGTTTCGTCTGGCTTTTCTACTTAATTTTGATAGGAACACTGGTTGGCTAGTTAGTTATACCACTGGATGTAGAAACAGTTGTTAACTACCATCCTTGACAGGAATGCTCTGAATAATGAAATTTGACTTCCACAAATATAAATGAATTTTCTACAGTATACACCCTGTCTATTTTTACAAGTTCGAGTCAAACAAATAAAATAGCGAATAAGAGTATTTTGTAAACTATAAAACTTTAAATATTTAAAAGACATCTTTCTTTTAAATAGACTTTTCTAATTATCTAGTTCAATGATTATCTGAAGTGATCTATCTACCCTGTAAACTATTTTGAGTACTAACAGAAAGCAGATGGCCGGGTTAAAAAAAATAAATAAATAAAACTAGTTCACCAAACCCTATTAATACTTACATGTTTCCATTCATGTAGATAAGGAAGATATATTTTTCCATTTGCATCAACATGTTTTCCTGTTTTAATAGTCATTGAACTAGTAGGCTTAACAAAACAGATAGGGGGATTATAAGGGTATGTGTCCAGGAGCCATAGGCATATTGGGATATTATATGTATTACCTGAGAGAGAAAGAAAAACTTCAGTTATTCTATTTTTATTATTTTTCAATAGTTTGGTGCAAGGTAGAGAAGAATAATACACATACACACAAACAAAAATTTTGTTTGCAAGTTCTATTTGAGATCAATTTCTCAAATTTTCAATTTGTGAAATACACCAGCAGGATGAAGACACTAAACCAATCATTACTCTTGCCATTGTGTGCCTGTTCCTGTAAAACATTCTTCACGAATTATCTTTTGACCCAACCTATTCTTTACTACTTGACTTATGTCATTTCTGTTATTAAGGCTTGCTAGGAAGGAAAATGGAAGAACATTGTTTCAGAGTGATACAGTAAGACAGACTTGAAATTCCCTTGCTGAAATCCAATTAGAAAACAATCTAACCATCAAATAAATAATTATTATTTCCACCATCCAGAATTCTCTGCTTTGTGAAAATGAAGAATTCTCCAGAATAACTTAAGATGCGTACACTATGCCCATGAAGAACAGTAAAGGAAACAGAGGGTTAGTAATCCCGCCCCCCCACCCCCATATCTATCTCCCTTATCAGAATTTATTTCCTGAGGACAATGGCAAAGTTAGTAATCTTGAATTTCACTCAGTCTTTCCTAAGCTTATCATACTTGCTTTGTACAATGCTGATGGTCAATTAAGTGTTTTGTTTTTGTTTTTTCCTGTCTGGACTTTGCATCATGTTATAAATGACAGGCCCAAATGCCATTACCTCTGTGATCTTATCATGTGGCCTTGTTTTCTTTTGTAATCTCATAGCACCTTTACATTTTATCACACTATAGTAATTACAGAATAGTATAAATATCTATTTATTCTATTTCCCCTATTAGTGTCAATTGTTCCAGAAAAGTTATAACCTTTATTCACCTTTGTATCCATAGTCCCTAACCCTATTGCTTTATGCATAACAGGTACGATGTGAAATCAATGAGTAAGTTACAGGGACATAGCTTTTAGCTAGTCATAAGAAATAATTAATAAACAGGGCTGTCCAAAAATAGCTCAAATAAAGCTGAACAGTCTCTTTGTGAAGCTCCCTTCACTGTAAGTATTCCAGCAGAGGGTGGCTGACTGGCTATCAGAGACTAATTATCTATCCACCATCAGCATTATTATCAACAGCACAACCATAAATAATAACTACTTTTTATTGTCTGCTCATTATATAGCAGGTTCCACTTCAAGTCTTTTACATACATTATCTCAATGAATTTTCAGTTCCCCTGAGTTAGATATTATTATCCAAATGCTATAGAGGCTCATGGTTATAAAACTGATAGATTATACACATTGAGAACTCAAACCTAACAACTCTGTTTAGACTTACAAGCCTCTGTTTTACCCACTGTACCATATAACTTCCCATGGTTGGAAAAATCTGAACAGTATGAGAGGTTGAACCAGCAGGCAACTAAGATCTCACTCTGGTATTAAGATTCTCTGATTCTATGAAACAATATTATTAGGCACTTATTTGTTAACGCATCTTGGTAAAGAAAGTTAGTTTTTTGTTTTTGCTTTTTCTTTGTGGGGTACTAGGGACTGAACTTGGGGCCTTGCACGTTGGGCAAGGATTCTACCACTTGAGTTAAATCTCTAGTCCAGGAAGCTTTTAAACAACTGAAAATGTGAGGTGTTGCTGCCAAATGAAGTTGAATTAGGAAAGATCTTAAAATCTCTGTATTATCATGCAAGCCTTGAGAAAATGAGTTCCATTTACTTGTAACTATTTGACAAGGTATTTATTATGTCATCAAATACATCTATATTGGAAACAGATAAGATATTTACCTCTGTAAGACACAGGAATTGTTCCAGTGAGGTTCATTAGTTCTCTAGAACTGCCATCATTAAAAACTGAAAGTTAAAAAGAAAGATTTAATCAGGAGCAGTTTTATATATACACTCATATAAGTCATTCTTGCAGAAACATTGGTTAAATTCATTACAATCCTTGAAAGGGGCTAACATGTTAGTGTATTCCGCTCTCTATTTAGTAACAAAGAATCCTTTGTTGACTCATTCAATGGATCAGCTTTTCACTGAGTAAAGAAAAAATGCTTTGGATCTTGTAAAAATGCATGAGAGTGCAACAGTTCCAGTAAATAAAAGCTTTTGGTCTCCAACTAATATGATTCTAAAACTACTTAAAAATCACTTTTAGGGCTGAGGGTGTAGTTCACTGGCAGAAAACCTGCCTAGCATCCACAAGACCCTGGGTTCAATCACCATCAACCCTACAAAAACAAACAAACCAGTATCAAATAATACCATACTAAATGTTAACCTAGTATCATTGTATTTTAGAAATCTCCAGTTATTTATCCCAATTTACTGTCATTCTCAATCTCAATGTAGTATTAAAGATAAAAAAAAGAGCTTCCACCATTAAATATAGACATCTGCTTTCAATGTGTATTTCTTTTTATTGGTGGTAATCAGAGTTTGAACTCAGGATCTTGTGCTTGGTAGACAGGTGCTCTACCAGTCGAGCCACATCTCCAGCCTTTTTTGCTGTAGCTATTTTTCAGGTTAAGAGTCTCTCATGTTTTGCCCAGGCCAGCCTAGATGCTTCTGTATATATAACTGGAATGACAGGTGCATGTCACCATGCCAAATTTTTTGTTAAGATGGGGTTTTAGTAACTTTGCTTGGGCTGACCTCAAACCTTGATCCTCCAGATGTCCACCTGCTGAGTAGCTAGGATTATAGGCTTGAGCCACAGTGCCCAGCCCAATGTGTATTTCTCATACCATACACCTTTTCTATCTTTCATTGATTATGGTATATAAGTTGTTTCATGAACTATTATTTGAAACAATGGTTTGTAACATAAACTGTGTCAAATAAGGAAAAGGCTATGGTATGGTTTGAATCTGAAATGTCCTCAGAAGACCCATGTGTTAAGGTTTGTTGCACATGAAATGTCCTCTGAAGGCCCATGTGTTAAGGTTTGTTGCTAGCTGATAGGCTTTAAAGAAATGATTGGATCACGGGAGCTCTACCTCATCAGTGGATTAATCCATTGACAGATTCATAATTTGACGGCATTATTAGGAGATGGTATAGGCTAGAAGGTAGGGGTTAGTTGTGCCCCAGAAAGGTGTATCTTGCCCCTAGCCTCTTCTCTTCTCTTTCTCTCTGCTTCCTGTCTACCAGGAAGTGAGCAACATTCTTCTGCGATGCCCTTCTGCTATGATGTTCTGCCTCACCATTGGCCCATGGTTGTGGCATCAAGAGACCACACATTGAAAACTCTGAAACTGTGAGACAAAATAATCCTTTCCCTCCTTTAAGTTCATTTTCTCAGATATTTTGTCACAATATCGAAAAGCTAACACAGGCTTAACGAACAGTACCAAACACACAAAACTACGCTATTGATATCAGTTTTTTTTCTTAACTTCTTTTTGACAACTATAAACCATGTTATAATTTATTCTGATTTTGTACATTTAAAAATAAATACATCTTATTCAAATTTAGGGCTCTAATTACACCAAAAGTATTTTGATACCAATATTCTAGATTTAGACCAGCCACATGAAACTATACAAGATTTGTCCGATAATGTTGGAAACTTTATCAGTTGTATCAACATATTTATTCCTTTATCATGCAGTAAAAACTATACACTTAGGGTAAAGTTCTAGCCTCAATCATTTTTCTTCCTACTAAAGCCATTTTAGAACTTTATTTTGATGATATGAGGGTTTTTACATAGTCAATACCATAGTATGGAATGTAGATAGAAATAAGGTAGGTTGAAATGAGGGGCATCTTGTTCTAGGTTTGGGAGAGGACTTTATGGCTCTGTTATACAGGAAATGCAGAACTAATTGTCTCCTTGTTGCTTCCTACCTCTCTTCACCAGGACCTAAAGCTTCAAAGCCTTAGGCATAAATGGAATTCAAACTCTCAGTTCCCTGCCTCCAGTACCAAGGGTGTCATAATGGAAAGGAGGCAGCATGGGTCTTCTCAGCTCTGGGTATTTTTAAGGAGACCAGGTTAGAGAGACTGTGTTAGGATTCAGTGGGGACAGAAAAGACTGATATTTAATACAAAGAAAAATTCCAGGTACTGTTATCGCTTAAATCCCAATTTAATTTTGTCTCAATATAAAGAAATTGCCACTTACCTACTCTACAAAATTAAGAGCATATTAAAAATGCTTTCCAGGCTGGGGAAGTGGCTCAAGTGGTAGAGCACCTGCCTAGCAAGTGTGAGGCCCTGAGTTCAAACCCCAGTACCATATGTAATATATGTATACACACACACACATATAAAAATGCTTTCCACATTATAAAATGTAAGGGACAATCCAGAGTATAGTTTTGCAAAATATATTCCTGAGAATAATATACAAATACTATGGGGAAGGGGAGTTTAAGCATCAGTAGTAAGTATCTCTAGGATATACTGTAAAATATTTTCTCTCTCTCTGCTTAGTGATGTACTACACATTTGCATATTAAAGGTTCTGAGAAATCTTTCTGCAATGAAACTTTTTTAAGGTGGTAAGAATAGACTACACTTGATCTTAGCTAAAAGGTCAAGAAGCAATGAAAATTAAAAAAAAAAAAATTTAAGAGACAAGGTCTCACTATGTTACTCAGGCTGGACTGAATAGCTGGGCTCAAATGATTCTCCTCCGACTCAGTCTCCTGAGTAGCTAGACTACACCCACACATCTCTTGACTAAAACCCACTTAAGTTTGTTTAATTAAACAAAATTTGTGTAACTGCTCAAACTAACCACAGAATTCTGCCTTTAACAGCCTGTCCCCAATAACATTCTTCACAATTAGGTATCAATAAACTTTGAGAAACAAGGGACTAAACTATCTTTAGAATTTCCTCCTACAGATGTGCAGCATACACAAGGCCCTCAACTTGATCCCCAACACTATGAAACAAACAAAAAAATCTCTCGTCAGCTCAAATTTGCATAGATGTATGTGAGAGTAACTTAGAAAAGCTAAACAAATACAAGATGTTATTAGATCTTATAATTTCTTATTATCTGACACTTTTATTAGTTAGAGGTTCAACCCTACAACTGAAAACCCAACAAACTTAAAAGGAAATGAGAAAACTACAATCATAAATAAAAAGAATAAACTCAAAGCACAGTAATAAGTACTTTATTACATGAACTCACCATATGAATCCAATACAGGTTTGAGATCTTTGTATAGAGTTATAACGTTGACAGTTTCACGTACAGTTAAGTCTCTGTATTTATACTGAAAAGCAAAAATCACAAAAGAATTTAATTGAAAACCAATGCTCATTATTTTACTGCTACATGACTTTTCTTTTTTTCTGGGATTTTATTAGCATACATTTATAATACAAGGGGATTCCACTGTGATATTTCCATAGATGCATATAGTGCACTTTGAACAAGTTCACCCCCTCTAGTAGATTCCCTTAATCCCTCTTGAACCTCTAACTCACCCCAATTCTCAAACAGTATTTGGTGGGTTTCATTATTCTATTTTCATATATATGTGTAAAGTATTTTGATTTAGATTACTTTTCTTAAAATCTTGTATCCTTCATAACATTCTTCTTAAAAGCATAATAATTATCACTAATCATTTAGTAATCATTAAAGCGTGAAAGGACCTCAATCTTTAATTTCTCTTCTGTCACCCAACTGAACCCTTTAAAGAAACCATTCACCTCCATTTTAACTCTTCTATACAACTTAAAAGATCCCACCAAATCATTTTTTGTTTTTTTGAGACAGGGTCACACTATATCCTCTCACCTCAGCCTCTGGAGTAGTTGGAGAATTGCAGGCTTGAACCACAGTGCCCAGTTCCAAATCAAATCTTAATCATTCTCAAAGACCAAATTTACATACCTCTTTGCCTCTCTTAATGAGTCCTTTTCCACATTTCTGTAATTATTCCCCCTTTTCCTTCAAGCTGCTATCATACATACTTTGCAATGTGTCATTTTCTATTGTGTTTTCCACTTTACCTTGTTCCATTCCACTCCAGAAGAACTAGCAACCTAGCTTAGGCACCCCTGGCAAGAGATAAGAAAATTCACAGGAGACTCCTCTCATCTGATCACAATCCACTACCGCTCACTGGTCAAAAAGCTCCATCTACCCACATAAAGCTTATAAGTAGCTTTTAGCTTCTTTCTTAAAAAGAAGCAGTAAGCTATTCCAATAAGAAGATTCAATAAACAAGTCAAAGACTAAACCAAACAGAAAACAAGGTATAAGTAACAGAAGTAATGTAAGAAGAAAACTTCAAGAGAATTAGTAACTAATCAGGGCAGGGCATGGCTCAAGTCGTAGAGTGCAACTCCCCTCCCCCTCAAAAAAAGCGGAGCTCCAATACCACCAGCAAAACAAAAAAAAGTAAATAATAATAAATGATATTGTATCAATGAAACAACACTCAAGCAGGAGGCTGAGGCAGGAGGATCTCTAGTTAGAAGCCAGCCTGGATACATACACAGTAAAATCCTCTTTAAAAAACAAAAACAAAAAAAAATGCAAGCAAGTCAGGACTCTTGGATATAAAAAACACAGCAGCAAAATAGGATTAGAATATAAAGTCAAAGAAACTGCACAAAGACAAGCACAAAAGAGACAACAGTGAAACAAGGGACAAAATTGAAGAAAACTTAAGGAATAAATGCAGGTCTACTCAAAGGCATTTCCTGTCCTCTTCCGTCTTGTAGCACCGATTTTTCCAGGTTATGTGATCAAACATATTACCATACAAACATGTTCTTGTATTTTCCACCTTCTTCATATAAACCCATCCCTAAACTCCACTGACCCTCTAACTGCTACATTTCTTTCAGGTTCCCCCCACCTTTTTCGTTTTTTTTTTTTTTTTTTTTGCTTTTAACGTAGTCTAGGCTGCCTCACGCTAAAATAATAAGGATCCAAATTAAGTTCATGCATTGCACCTTGTTAAAAGTATCTTTTATGTCTCTTTTAATGTACAGATTCTCTTCATTTCTCTCCCCCCACCCCAATCTCCTCTCTTTTTTTCTTTTTCTTTTTTTTTGAGACTGGTCTCACTATATACCCCAGGCTGGCCTTGAACTTGAGATCTTTCTGCTTCAGCCTTCTAAGTGCTGGAATTACAGGAATGTACCACCTCACCCAGCTCCCTTTCTCTTTTTCACAGCTTCACTGATATATCAATTCACATTATGATTTAATTCACATATTTAAAGTGTACATTTAGTAGTTTTTTAGTATATTCAGTTATATAACTACCACTACAATTTTAGAACATTTTCATTATCCTCAAAAGAAAAGAATATCCTTAAATGATAACCTTCCATTCCCTACCCCTTTCACCCTAGGGAACCACTAAGCTACTGTCTCTATGGATTTGCCTATTCTGGAGATTTCAAACAAAGTGAATCATATATGGTCTTTTATGACAACTTTCTTTCCACATTTTCAAGGTTCATCCGTATGGAGCATATATTGGTTTCTTGCTCAATAATATTCATTATATAGATACACCACATTTAATTTATCAACTGTTCAGTTGATAAGCAGTCAACTGATGGGCTTATCTTTTTTCCCCCTTGGAATGTATTTGAAAAATAATTTATTCATTTGTCCTACAGGGGCTCCCATGGTTTAGAATTTACTAATAGTATTCCCTTGGTATATTTTAACATCTGGAACTTAAAATCTTCTTCAAGAGTTTTATTTTTTTGCTTTTCTTTCCCTTTCTCTTTTGCAAGAGAATTTCATAAATGGTGTTTCACCATCAGGAAGCACATCATATCTTGTGTGCCCTATGATGTTAGCAACCACTGATGCTCAGTGCCTAGGCCCATTCTCTTTGAACCCATTCCAACTCTGGACATTTAATAGCTGTGGAGATAGTGAAAAGTGATCAGGGGCTGGGAGCATAGCAAATGATAGAGAGCCTACAGAGCAAGTGTGAGGCCCTGAGTCCAAACCCTAGTACCATCAAAAAAAAAAAAAAAAATTCTAGTTTGACCTAGGTGCTGGTAGTTCACACCTATAATCCTAACTACTTGGGAGACTGCTGGGGCAAATACGTCATAAGAACCCCATCTCAAAAATAACCAGAGCAAAATGGACTAGAAGTATCACTCAAGCAGTAGAGTGCCTGCTTTACAAAGGTGAAGCCGAGTTCAGATCCATCTGACAAAAAAAAAAAAAAAAAAAAATCCAGTCCTCTTCCTTGAACTCCAGTATAGTATCTTTTGCTTTCCAGTTTGTTATCCATGCTGAACCTCAGTCTGAAACTATTAAGTGGAAAATCCCAGAAATAAACAATAAGTTTTAATTTGCATGCAGTTCTGAGGAATATGATACCGTGATGAAATCTCATGCTGTCCCACCCAGGAAGTGAACCATTCCTTTGCCCAGCATATCCACTCTGATTATGCTACCCTGCCTGACAGTGACTTAAGAGGTGTAAGATAGCATGTCCTAGGGCTTGTGTTCAAGAGCTCTTTTATTAATTAATAATGATCCCAAAGTGCAAGAGTACTGATACCAGCAATTTTACAAGAGCATATTGTTATCACTGTTCTATTTTATTATGAGTCATTATTACTAATCTCTTACTGTGTTTAATTTATAAATTAAACTTTATCATAGGTATTGCATGTACAGGAAAAAACATAGTATATATATGGTTCAGTATCATCCAGTTTCAGAAATTTACTGTGGGTCTTGGATTCCTGTGGACAAAGGAGAGTACTAAATATCCAACTGCCAGTGTGACATCTGCACTTTGATATCTAATGAATATCAAACTGAACATGACTAAACTGAACTCCTATCTTCTCCCCAAATTTACTTTTCCTACATCTATACCATTCCAACTATTCAGGCCCAAAACCATGAAGCTACCCTTAATGCCTCTTTCTCACAGCCAAAGCAAATCTATCAAAAAATCCTGCTAGATTTACCTTATGAAGGTAAAGCTTCCTCTCACTATCTCCAGTTACCTTCAATCCTGGTCTAAGCAACCAGCATCTCTCACCTATATTATTTCAACAGTTTCCACTCTTTTCCTCTACAGTCAGCATTCAACACAGATATGGTACTGTTAAAAGTAACAACAGATCAATGGCTTCTCATCGTAATCCACCTAAATGCCAAAGTCCTTACACTGGCCTGAAAGCCTCTCCAAAACGTCCCACACCCCTTGATGCCCAGTGTCTAAACCCACACCACTACTTCCCCCCTTGCTCACCTTAGCCCAGGCATGGTACCCTTCCTTGTTCCTCTACAATGCAGGGCAAACTTCTGTCTCAAAGCCTTTGCACTCACTTGTTTTTCCTTCTTCTTGGAATGTTCTTACCCCAGTTTGTTTCCTTATCTCTTTCAGGTCTCTACTCAAATAGTTTTTCTCTTGGAAAGGTCTTCCTTTACTCTCTCTTGTAAAATTGCAACCCATCCTATTTTCTTCCTATTTCTCTTTCCTACCTTACTTTCTCTAAAGCACCTAGCACTTTTCCAACATACTATTTAATGTACTTTATGAGTTACTGACTTTGATGTGAATTTAAATACCAGATGGGTATGTTGTCTTGTTCCGATTGTTCACTATTGTATTCCTAGAATCTACTCCAGATGAAGTAATTGCAATCTTTAATGTATCTGCTTTCTTCTACCCATTTAGTAGCAACACGATCTCTAGAAATGTTGTGGATATACTATGACAGAATGTAAGTGATTTATGTATGAACAATCTAAAGTAGAAAGTTATTTGTGTAAAGCAAGATGGACTAACACTACAAATATATCTGTTAATGGATAAAATTATGAAGGATGTTAACTAAAAGTTATGTTTAAGTTGGAAGCTAAAATAATGCTCAAAAGAAAAATGATCTATAATATTTTTCAAAACCAATATATACATATGTATGTATATGGGCAGGGCCCACAGTACCTTGATGGGTGTGGAGATTCCACAGATAATGAGTAAATGGGCCATGACAGGTTCTGCTAGAGAAAGCTTAGGAGGCTTAATTAGGGAATTAAAAAATAAAGCAGTACTAGAATATAAATATTACAACACAGACCTTTACCTGGGCCATAATCTAAGTTTTCCCCAAATTTCCCCTATAATTAAGGATAACTACTTTACCAAAAAAAGTAAAGAATCCTAGAAGATATGGTTAGACAACCAAGAGAAAGAGGTAATCTGGTCCTCAATCAAGGACTACAGGAATGATTTTACTGGAAAAAGACTGCTAAAAAGTTTTTGAGTTGAAAACCACTTAAACCAACACTTTCTACCATTCCTGCTTTTACAAAAGTATCCAAAGCTAACCCGTTAAACTGGAGAAGTCAACTCTCAACCACTTTACATATATTTCCAATTAGCTTTGTTAAATTATAGAAGACATTCCACTCTGGTGTCTGGTGCTATACGTGAAGTAACTATTAAATCCCGGCTTTAAAATACAAAACATCAAATTGCATTTTTAAAAATGAAAACAAAACAAAACAAAACAAAAAATCCTACAGCAGTCGAGCTGTGAGGGTTATTAAGCGTAGTAAGCAGCACACAGTTAACAGCAACTACTCTTGGTAACCCCTGGACCAGTAGTGGCATTCCACTCATTTCACCAGGGTTGGGGAGGGTGCACGCATTCCAGCTCTCCTGGACGTTTTTATTAGCAGAGCCAATTCCATCCAGTCACTGGCCTCCCGCGAGCCGGGGCTGAGCTATGTGCAGAATACAAATCTGAAAAGGCTACGGTCCCTGAGGGCCAGCGAGGCAAGGGCGAAGACCGGCGGATCCCTAGACTGGGACAGGAGTGGATGGCTGCCTCCGAACAGACTGGAGTACGATCACCTCTTTTTGTTCGTGAAATTTAAGACGGAAACTCTACTGCCCCACAGAAAGCTCCAAACTCTCCCGAAGAGAGACGGGCGAGCGGCAGGTGGCAGGCGGCCTCGGCTCCGCGCCTTTGTTGACGGTTGCCGCCTCTCCCGCCCCACGTCCCCAGCCAGGAGACCAGGAATTCCGACGCGACAGGCGCCTGAGGGTGGGCTGGGGGACACGAAGGCGGCGATGTACCGCACTGGGGCTTCCGGCCCGCCCGGCAGGCTCGCGGGGCTGGGCTCGTCCCGGTCAGGCGCGTTAGGGAGTAGTGGGCGCGTGCGAGGCGACAAGCGCGTCGCGGTCTCACCTTGGACACCATTTTCTTCAGCTGGCTTTCTGACACTGCCATGACCGCCGCCTCGAGACTCCCGTCCCCGCAGGCAGAGGGTCAGCGGCTGCGGGGCCGTCCCAGACAATCACACACCAAGCAACCAGTCCCCCTCCTCCCAAAACAGGAAGTCAGCGCCATCGTCGCGCCTCCGCTTCCCTTACGTCACTTCCGGGACCGCTGTCCTACGCAAGAGGGTGGGTATTGTAGCTAAGGGTCCACCCGCTGCCGCTGTACGCAACTCGGCAGACTGGATCGGTTCCCAAAGATAAGGCCAGGCCTGTTCCAAGGGTCAAAACTGAGTCGGGAAGATATTGGCAGGTGTTCCATATTCACCCTTAGACCTAGGAAGCGGGTGCAGGAAGGGCAAGAAGGCTATAGGGTTTTATCCTTAATTCCTCAAGTGTGAGGGCACCTTAGTGGTTAACTAGGGCTGTCACTGACTTGCCCTGGTGAGAACAGTAGGCAGGTGCACTTCATCTCGTGCTTAAGTTCTTCCCAACTCTTAAAATGAGTTGCACTAGATGATGCCCAAGGTTTCTCTGCATTACCAAGTGTGGGGGGTTTTGTTGTTTTTCTTTTAAAACTTAAGTCCTTTATCCTATGTTTGCAAAGGGTAGATCTTTTTTCAGGAAGCCAAACAGTAGCTTCTTCCCCAGGTTACCTTTCCCTAAGTCAAAACTTTTGTGTGCCCAAACATAAATAATACATTATAAATAATTCTACATTGCCTTACTTTCATTGCCTTGTACAGTGCAAGAGTAGGCACTCAGTTGAATTCCTACTTCAAATAAAAGCTCGGCTATGGTGATTTATATTAGTCATCATTCGTCATCACCAGTTTTTATAAGCACACTGCCATTCAAAGTATCTTAAAGCTTAAGTTTGATGATGTGAAGTACGATGGATTTGAGTGATTTTATATATCACTAATGAGCAAGCCTGTGGCATTGATTCTGAGTTGGCATCTAAGTGAAGGTTACATACACCAAGGAGCCTTACTGAAAGCATGTGGAAGTATCATAAATTATTGTCAACACACACAGGCTATCCCAATAGGTATTATTCTTAGATAATCATGTTAGCTCTACTCAACCCAAAAGATGTCTGTCCTATTGCACCTGCAGTTTTATGTTGCTTAAAAGCATGGCTTTCAAAATGCTGTTAGAACCACAGCTTACTTAATACTTTCAACTAGAGCAACTCTGTTTCTGTAGATTAGAGAAATGCTAAGTAATATTTTGTTTTAGAAGTTTTCTTAGCTAGGCATGGTGGCATTAGTTCTGTAATCCCAGAACTGGAGAGGTTGAGGCAAGAGATCACAACTTTAAGGCCAGCCTGAACTTCACAGTGAGATTCTCCAAAAACAATTTTTTTCTTGTTAAAAATAACTTTTAAAATTTGAAAACAATAGATAAAATCCAATCTCTTCATTTTGCAGATCACTTCAAATAAATGTCCTGGATGCTGCAATGGATTATATGAAAAAAGTTCCTTAATTTGAATTAACTTCATTTCACTTAATAAGTAAGGCATTACTTGGTGATTTTAAAATCAAAGTTTATTCATCATTCTTGATATTTAAGGAAACAATGTAAATTGGAAATAAAAACTCTTATCTTCTACAGTATCAAAAAAAACTTTTAATCCAAGACCCACTAAAAATCATAACAAGAAGCATTGCCTGATTTTGGAAAAATGAAATGTGATTGTTAAATTATCACCAAATCATACCATTTCCTGATATAACATAGAACTTACAACATAATTACAAATACTTAGCATTCAAAGAACTATCTGATATAGAGAATTACTTCTATACTGTGGCCTTTTGGAGGGTGAGAACTGTAATTCATTCCCAAATATTCAGAGTCTAACAATAACTGGAATAACAGTAGCTGCTAGAAATATTTATTATACTGACATACTCCTTTTATAATTAATGTAGTGAATTCTTGGCAATTCATCTATACTATATTATATAATATTTTTCAAATAGATAATTGTTCAAGAGCATATTAGAAATTAGATTTTAGGAATTATCAAATTTCTAATTATTTATTATAAAAGGTTAGCTTAAAAATCAACAAGAAATGGTTATTTCCCTTTTACATTTCTATTTCATACAAATAAACAGTAAGAATTATACCAAAATAATCTACATAGAACTAATGCTTATCTCCTTAAATACCCAAGATTTTTTGTTTGTCTGTTTTTGTGATGCTGGTATCAAACCCAGGTATGTCAAGCAAATGCTCTACCACTAAGTTATACTCGCAACCCAAATGTCTGAGGCTTTATCCAGTTAAATCAGGTGGGAATATTTCCAAGTATATCAAATACTTTTCTTCTTTCTTAAACATGGGATACTAGATTTTACGTTTTTGGCAGTACTCAGGTTTGAACTCAGGGTCTATACCTTGAGCCACTCTACCAGCCCTTTTTGTGATGGATTTTTTTCAAGATAGCATCTGTCTTGCAAACTATTTTCCCAGGCTGGCTTTGAACCACAATCCTCCTGATCTCTGCCTCCTGAGTAGCTAGGATTCCAAGCATGAGCCACTGGCTCTCCTCTTATTTTACCTTTCTTAATGTCTAAAGTTCATCATTATCACTATCCACTATTATACTAAGTGAGCTTTAGATTATTTCCTCTCTACCTGGGATATGTATACCCCTGTGAACCATCTGGCCCCTACCTCCCTGACCAGATTTGGGTTCAGCTATTATATGCTTTTAAAACACTAGGTAGGTGGCCGGGGGGAGGGAGATGCAGGGAGTGATCTAACCAATGTACAATGTAAGACTATTCAGAACTGTCACTACAAATCCTCCCCCCCTTATAATGAATAAAAATGAAAAAGAAAACTTTGGGGGCTTCTTCATAGTACTTATTACACTTGCAACTACACATTTGTTATGAGAGTTGATTACTGTGTTTCTTATTCTAGATTTTCTTTTTCCATATAGAGTGTAAGAACCAGAGGGCTTGTACCTAATCCAGGCATTTTCACTATTAGTGACTGGTGTATAAAAGATTCCTAATAAATGCTAGCTGGATGATTAAATAAATAAATACCTACCTCAGTGCATAGACCCTCTGCTATTTGCTGAGTACATCTGGGAAGCCAGGAAATCAATCTTTCTGATAATGAAAGTAATCCTTTCATAGTATTCAAAACTCCAACTTTAGGGTCTTATAGTAACTATTTTGGCTATTAGGCCTTTTTCTCCTTTTGGTACCTATAAAAAGTAGAGGTTGTATGAATCTATAACTCCCTTAAAGGCCCTGAGAGCTTGGACACTCAATCTCCTCCTCTATAAAATGATGGTAATAGTCCCTTCCCTCTGTGGGTTATTGTGAGGATTCAATAAAATAATGAATTGCTCACCACACTGCCTGGCATATGAAAGTGTTGATGTTAGCTGTTACTATTAGGTGTGTGTCACGACAGTAATAACATGCTATCTTTCACATATGGAAACATTGCTATTGACCCACCACTCGAGCACACATACTCTGAATCATTTCTTCTGCAGTTATTGAAGAATTTGCTCAGAACCATCAGTCCATTTAACTTCTCCCTTAAGACCAATTTTTTTTAATGAAAGCCTCATATTTCAGCCTAATTAGCTGCTTAGCTGTTACTATAATTTATGTCCACTAAAATACATATTTCTCTATGTTTCTAGGAATATCATAATGAATTTATCACATGGAGATCTTACATAGCCTAGGAAGAAGTTACAGAAAATTTCAGAAAGGAAACTCCACTGAAATTTTAATTATATATAATTTTTCTTTATCTATTAAAAATTTTCACTTTTCCTTTTTCTATTTTAAAGTAAATATGAAATTATTTTCTAGATTGTGGTAGCTAATGAATTTGAAGAAGGAAAATAAAATGATTTGCCATTACTACTTTTGCAAAAGAAATATTAATACACTGTGAATTTTCTGAATGTATACCTAGCACAGATTTTTTAGGAAAGGCCATTCTGGCCCTTCGACTTATCATGTTTATTATAAATGTCAAAGAATAATCCTTTAAAATTATTTTTTCAGGAGATTTCCAAAGTGCTAATGTGCTTTGAGTTTAGGATATACAATTTAAAATGATTTACAGTACAGATGAATGTTTATCCTTTCTGTGAGCTTAAAGAACAGTGTAGCTATCTATGTCAAGAATCCCAAGAAAATTAAGATTTTATTTCCTTCTTAATCTAACTCCTTATGGATTCAAATTACAAGGCTACCTAAGAAACCATCTACCTTAACCAAAAGTTTGTAAGGGTAAGTAGTAAGATAAAGAAGTTCGCAAACCTATCTATAGTTGACAAAATTAAACAACCTTTTTCACCTTTCAGGTAACTACATTTGAGAATCAAAGTTTTAACTGCTGTTGGAGACCATGAATTGAGGATGCACTGCTTTGTAGTTTCTCGGTCACTGTGCTTTCTCTCACTGTGACTTTGATGACTTCAGCTACCCCAGTGGCTCCAAGGATGCAAGGCAAACTTAAAAACACTTCGCTATTTATATCATAATATCCCTGAAGTGAAAAAAAAAAAGGGATTATAGTAGAAATAAATCACTGCAAAAAGTATTATCATAATAATGCAGGCTTTCTTTCCACCTCTAATACAAAGTGATACAAGTTTAAGTTAAACTTAAATTTTCTTTCTTTCTTCCTTTTTTTTTTTTTTTTTTTGACAGGGTCTTGTGATGTAGGCTCAGGCTAGCCTTGAACTCAAGATTATCCTGACTTAGCCTCCCAGAGCTAAAATCACAGTCATGCATCTTCATGCCTGGCTTTGTTTACTTATTTTCTAAACTCAAAGTTATTGCTTCAGAAAAAATTTGAGATGGGAAGAATTGGTTAAAGATACCCCCTTTGTAGGGCAGTAAGCTAGCTACCTGCAATATGGGTACCATGCTGAGGGCTAAGATAAAAGATGGACAGAGTGAATTTCTTGGGGAAGGGCAAAGTATGGGTTTGAGGCAAAGTTTTCCTTTCCATGTTGTGTTTCCCTCCTGGTATTTTAAGTCTTCAAGAAAATCTGACTAAGCATTTGTCAGATGCTTAGGTGTCCTTTGTGGAAGTTATGCTCTGGGTAACAAACCACTGGAGAAATAAACTACTGGGCCAGCTTAGATGAGCTAGCACATCAGTCTAGGGTGACTTAGTTGGCTGAGGTGATAAAAGATAACCAAAAGAAGCTCACAGAATATATAAACACTTCTTGGTGAGACTCAAAAATTACATAAGAGTGAGAAGGCAGCCAAGTAGAAGTCCAGAATTCCCACAGGTAAACAGCATAAGGCTTAGACTAAAAGGTAGTGATGCCAAAGACAACTGAGTTAAGAGTGTGAGCAGCAGTTTTGCTGGTATTATATTATTAATATGAAAGTTTTAAATTCAAAATAACTGTTACCTTTGCTAAAACGGACACAGAATGTACTTTCTTTTTATTGTTTACAATACTGTCAACCAGGTCAGCCACTGATAGTCCGACAGACCAGGATCTTTGACCTTTTACTCGTAACAGTTCCATGGCTCTAGGTTACAAAAAAATATGATCTCAGAAAATGCACAGAATATGCACCATTTAGTTTTACACTGTTTAATAGTAGATATTATTATGACACAAATAAAAATTATACAGCAATTATTAGGGAGGCTTACATGTATCTATTGATTTAAGCTTTTCTTAAAATATCAGATATGCAGTTCACAGAGAGAAAATATAAATGCCTGAATAACAGATGTTCACTGCCCTAAATATTTAACAATGTGAATTAAAACAATAAATACCAGGTTAACCTATCCGCATTGGCAAAGATTAAAAAGACTGGTAACTAATTCGGGGAAGCTATAAATAGGCATTCTTATAACTGATGTTTAGAGTATAAAGTGATCTAATCTTTTAAGATTTAGCAACACTTGATCTAGAAATTCCTCTTTTAGGAATTTATCCCACAACAACATGCTTGAACGTGCAAAAGTATACATATAAGTATTTGGAAAAAAACTCATCAAAAGGAGACTGGTCACATAAATCACTGCCAAATAAGGTAGATTTACATGTACAACATGGAAAGATGTCCAAGTTTTATCATTAAGGAAGCAAACTGCAAGACAGTATCAACAGCATAAATTTATTATTAAAATAATAATATTATAATAATGATATATTTGAAAAACAAATTGAATGACATGTGGATATTAAACTTAACAGTGGATGTCTCTAGAAGATGGAATTACCCCAGCTTTTTACTCTCTATAATATCTGCAGTACTTGAAGTTTATAATAAGCATTCTTTTTGTAAAAGTAGTACAAATTAAACAATCATTTACATTTATTCATTTTTAAAACTACCAGGAATATAGCTCAGTAATAAAGCACATGCTTAACATGCTTAAGGTCCTGGGTTTAATTCCCAAAATATGAAATCAAAACAAAAACCTACAAATACAAGATTATTTAAGATTGGAATAAATTATACACATACTATTATTCTTTTTTGGGGAGGGCAGTACTGGAGTTTGAACTCAGGGCCTCACACTTGATAGGCAGGTGCTCTACCAGTTGAGCCACTGCACCAGCCATGGTTTTTTTGGGGGGGTTGGGTATTTTCAAGAGAGGGTTGGTCTCATGATCTGTTTGCCAGGGTTGGCTTCAAATCTGGATCCTGCTGATCTCTGCCTCATGAGTAGCTAGGATAACAGGTGTGAGCCACCAGCACCTGGCCATACTACTCTTCTTAATAAGAAAGAGAACATTTTTTCCAGCTGTTATATTCTAAAAACCATAAGCTGAAGGATTAAAAAACTGAAATTCACCATCACTCAAGCCTTCAGGTAAGTCTGTGATAATGTGATGGTGAAACAATAAATGGCATGAAAATATATAGCATTTAAAGTCCAACCCATGGAGCACACAGAACCCTGAAAGATCCCCAAATAAAGACAAAAGATACACGAATCTGTGCATTACACTTTTCTCCCCCTTGAACATATAAGGCTTATTCATATTAGACTGATTTCCAAATGTACTCATGTGTAATTAATATGTATTTCTAAGCGGTATGTACAAATTCTCTTCTATATTAAAATTTTAATATCCTCAGATGATTAGATATAAGAGCAGTAAATCACTGTCTACAAATAAGGACAGTGTTATACCCTTTACATGTCAACTGTGTTGCCTGGAAAAGTTTGCAAAGCACTCTTAGATCTACAATGAAATAAGAAATCAGACAAAACAACACTGTTCCCTTATATGTTTGGATTTGCCCACACTAGCTAGTTTTGTTTACAGAAACTTGAGAAGTGCATGCTCTGTAAACCCTGTTAGCTATGAAGTACATGATTTTCAGTTGGATATGTGAAAATTTGCATTATTACCTGTTGGACAGCTGTACCTGAGGGCTAGGATTCATTACTTCTTCTTGGCCACCCCATGTGGGCACTAAAAATTAAATGAAGAATTAATTATATTTTGCCAATGATTGTCTTAGGATTGAAACAATAAATGGTCTTTTGCAGTCTAGGGTAATCTTTAATCTGAATTAATCTTTTTATGGAAGATTTCTTTCTTTCTAGCAACAGTTATTTTTTCATTGATGGCACTATATTTATTGTACCAACTGTGTGGGATGAAAAAAATTTGAACTACAATCTCCCAAAAAAAAAAAACAAAAAGATCTCTAAAGTCTACTTGCAGCCTACTAACCTGTTCTCATCTAGAAGAGTTCTACAAGGGCTGTTTTACTGTTCAAAGAATAGTAAAAGGGAGAGTTGTTTCCTCAGCAGGCTTCCAAATGCTGCAAGCACTTGGCATTTGTTCTGCTGGGAACTGCTCTGAAAATAATTTCTTTCACCAGGTGAAGCCTTACCAATGAAAGCTGGTAACCTTTCATTTTGGGATAGAATTTTCCCAATGTTAGAGAGGAAGATTCCTGTTTTTTAAGAGCACCTTCTGCATTACCCATGTCTTCTCATTACAAAATTTATAAAACAATAAAAAATTCAAAGCTGTGTACATAAACTGGACTTTTTTTTTAGGGGAGGATGCTGGGGACTGAACCCAGGAACCTTGTCCGTGCTAATAAGTGTACACTCTACCACTGAGCTGAAACTGCAGCTCCCACATTTTGAAACCACTGCAATATTCACTTGGTTCATATCTGTGTAAAGATATTCTTTGGTACATTCTATCTGTATTTGGGTAAATACAAAAATAAAGTAAAACAAAAATACATTTGGCCATATAAAAATATCGTATGTTTAAGATACAAATATTCTAAACTGCATTCAAAATTAGGCCATATAGTGTCAGCAATAAAGGACACTATATGTATTCAGATGCCTCACTTCCTCAAATTGATTTTAAGGTTCCATGGTGCAGGGACCATTGGGTCTTTTGTGTTCTCTTCACATATTTTTTTGTTTGGTTTTGGTTTTCTGAGACAGGATCTTAATATGTAGGCTAGGAAACTCACAAGACTTGAGCCCAGTGGTTTTTAGTTAGTTTGTTTGTTTGTTTTGTTTTGTTTAGGGCTATTTAGGATCTTTGATACGCTAGGCAAGAATTCTATCACTGAGCTACATCCCCAACTTTTGGACGTATTCTTTACTATGGTGTTTGGCAGACAGAAGATAATATGAAACCTCACACACTATTAATATTTGTATTTGGTAAGGAAGAGAAAAACATGGAAAAGTTTTAAAAGTTTATATTGTTTTGCTGTGCTGGAGATGGAACCTAGAGCCTAGTTCATGCTAAGCAAGTACTCCACTACTAAACTACCCAAAAAACATTTTTATGCAAGTGGGAAATAAAGCAAACCCAAGAATTGTTATATGAAAAAAATTCTTAACTTGTCCATATGTATTTATAATGAATTTATAATGAATACATATGGACAAGTTAAGGAATTTTTTTCAATGTTTTATTTTGAAGGGTTAAACATGGGACCAGGCATGGTGGCACATTCCTGTACTCCATCTACCCAGGAGACAGCAAAACCCTATCTAGAAAAAGCTGGGCACAGTGCCCCACACCTGTGGGCCCCAGCTAGTTAGGAGGTGGAGGCAGGAGGATAGCAGACTGAGGGCAGCCTGAGGAAAAACAGAAGATCCTATCGGAAAAATACTCTAGAAGCAAAAGGACTGGGAACATGGTTCAAATGGAACAGCACTTTCTTAGCAAACATGAAAAAAAAAAGTCATTAAAAATAAAGAGGAAGAAGGATTATACATGGATTATTTTCTTGAAATTTTTGTATGTTATTAGTACACTGGTAAATTACAAATTAGGAGGTGGTGAATGTCTGCTAAACTGAAATACAGCATTCCAGATCTTGGGAAGATGATTAAAAGTAGCAAGGCTGGCATTAAAAAAGACTCAGAAAGGTTATTAAAAAAAATCTGAAAATGATCAGTACTGCTGTCATTATACACATAGATCCATAGACAAGATGGATAGATGATAGATTGTCACATTCTTTATCTTTCCTCTCTAATGTTCTGACTCATAAGAGTCATGAGCAAAGAAGGTTCAGAGAGGGAAAAATTCAAATTTCCTTGTGACATATTCTTTAGAATTTTCAAATGAGTTTGGATGGACTTAATATTCATTTTTTTTGTTTTGTTGCCCAGCCTTTAAAATTTCACAAATCCATTCTAGTTTAACTACTTATTTCAAATATTGTATCTAATCAGTCTATAGCTTCTGTTCCAACCAAGAACAGGCCCTAAGAATTTGACTGAAAAATGCCCATAGGATAGCTTTTACCATTACATACACCTACCTTGTACTGAATGCAGATGATCTAACATTCTGTTCTAAAACAGCACTACAGCTACCTGCAGTTTGTTATGACTGCAATATCACAGCTGAAAATAGCAGCTTCACAGTATATGTTCTGCTAATGGTCTAATTTGATGTTAAGTAAATGAATCATCTTTGGTTGTAACAAGGTGCTGTCAGGATCATTCATTCATTCCAAAATATACTTACTGAAACCTTCTAAGCTCAAGTAAATTAGGGTCTGGTTGGGTAAACACAGTATAATAATTTAACAGACACAATGATAACACAGTGTAATAATGGTTATAACTCTTGTATGAACTTACTTAACCTTGAGTGCTTTCTGGAAGAGCTGGCACTCAAGTCCAGTCCTGAAGGGTAAGCAGGAATTAGCCAGGTGTATGGAAAAAAAAAGCAGCAAGTGCAAAGGCAAGGAAGTGTAAAAGTGTATGAACCAGTCAGAAATTGTAAGCTGACCATCTGACTGGCACAGAATGCCTGGCAGGATGGCAGAAGATGAAACTGAAGGAAGCAGGAAATAGATCCTAAAGGTTTTATTTGCCATGAGATTCCTCCTGAAGGCTGTAGCTGTCATTTATTTGTCTCTGAAAAGAGAATAATTTTACTTACACAACTTTTATTCTTGTAACTGTTTCCAAATCCTAATGTTGCTTTATTTCAAAGGATTGTTTTATATGTCCTTTTACCATTTTTCTATTCATCACCCTTTTGCAATCCTACAACAACAACTACTATTTGCTGAGTATTTATTCTGTGCCAGACTTCGTACTAAATGTTTTAAATAAAATTATCTAAGTGACAGCAAAAGAAGAGCACAACTTTAGAGCCAGACTTGGGTTCAAATCTCAGTCCTTCCCTTTTTCGATATGAAAAAGTAAATTATTTATCCTCATTGATCCTTAAGTTTCCTCATCTATAAATTTATAAATCTACTCCTCCTTCATAGTTTATTAGTAAAATGAAATATAAGACCTGCACATGAAGCATTTAAATATACATAGTGGGCCCTTAATAAAAATAGTAATAGTTAATAATTATTAATTACCTCACATCATTACTATGATGGTATCTCTTACACAAAACTATAACCAGTTGGTGTGTACACATGACACCAGCAGAGGGAGCCTCTAATCCATTTCTGGTTTCAGGGCCAAGGTAAGTATACTTGTCTATGGATATATCAACTGTCTCTGAAGCAAGTGTAGAAAATAAGACAAAAAGTGCTCTGAGGGCTGGTGGTGTAGCTCAGTGGTAGAGTGCTTGCCTATGGACTCGGGAGAAGTACACAGGTAGCTTCAGCAGTACTGGTAATGTTCTTGACAGAGGGTAAATTCATACGTGCTTGCTTTATTATGCCTTAATACTTGCATACGTATTTTATGTGTTAACTATTTCATAACACTCTATTTAGGTAATCCCAATTCTCATACAACTGCATCCCCTTATTTCTGTCCCCATTTGAGAGCTCAAGACAGAATTACCATATCCCTTCCTTGTGCTTTCATTTTCTCTCATAGCAAATCAATCTGCCCTCCAGACATTTCCCGTATTAAACTCCAAGTTTCCTAAAGACAGCATCAGGTGTGTACATATCTACATAGTTCCAGCAGCAGTCAGCATAGTGCCTTAGGCAAAGCAAGTGCCCAGTAAAACTTTCTGAAAACACATTCGTATACTTGGGATCAAGTAATTTAATCAAACATGAACTGCTTTTTGGCAGGTTTAAAATTGTTCCTCTCTGAAGAGCTCACGAATATATTCTATTGTTCTTTTTCCTTCACCAAAATATACAAGGCAAGGGCAAAGGAAAATATTTATCAAGTCACACCACCCTTTATTTCCTTTGCATGATTTGAGAAATGAATAGAACAATATTTTGAAATGTTCTTATTCATTCAATATTTATTGCATATCAAAAATTATAACATATTAGGGGGACTAGTTAAATAAATGATATATACTGTGGTTTAAGAATCAAATGAAAGTTATATATGTTATTATGTAATTATTTCCAGGTAATACCAATAAGTAAATGCACAAAGTGGTGAATGTCATCAGATGTATTTCACATATATACTTGGTTATACCCAGAGTATTTCTGGAAAATTATACAAGAAACTAGAGAGAGAAACCACAAGTCTGGTATAAAAGAGAGACTCATTTTTTTCACTGTATATCTTATTGTGCCATTTCATTGTTTTTCAAGGTGAATGTACAACTTTTCCAAGTAAAAGAACAGCTTAATAATGTACTTTCAATAAGGAGAAGGTACACACACAAAAATCAGACTGGATAGAGACAAAGAGCAGTACCAAAACAATAATATCATGAAACAATATATGGATAATTACCATATAAACTACAATAGTTTTTAACACAAAGGAGTGAAGAAGTCACTCCTTTCCAATCACTGATGTGATAGAAAAACTTTTATATTATAAGAGGCTTGACTTTGATATTGAAGGATGAGGTTTGATTGTTCTGGCAGAGACAGGGAAGGTTTATAGAGGAGGCAGCAAATGTAGTAGATAAAGGACTAGTAGCTGAAGTAAAACTGTGAGGTAGGCCTGGCAGTCAGAAGACCTGGATTCTAGGTCTTGACCCTAAAAGCTGTAGGTTCCTAGGCACTCCTATCCCTGCATCCATTGCAGGATTCCTAAAACAAAATGAAACATCATCTTTTGGGTATTTTTTGGCTCTAACGCCATAATTATTTGGAAAGAAAGATAAGGGCTATATTTTGAGGCTCCCTGAATGCCAAGCAAAGGAAATCAATGTTTTGGTCAGAAGAAAATGTTAAATGTTTCTGAAAAGAGTATGTTTTAGGAAGATTGAATTAATATGTGAGAATATACAGTAAGCACTATGCAAGTTTTGGCTAATATCACATCACTTACAGGGTAGACTAGAAGGAAGGAGCAAACCAACTAGGAGATTTACAAAATAGCCAGCAAGCAAGAGATCAACATGGCCCAGAACTGCAAGGATAGCAGTGAGTAAGTTCAGGTTCTTGGGTTGGTTTGAATCCCTAGACATTCATTACTCTAACATATCTACTCCAAGTTCTTGCTACCTTTTCCTAGGAGCCTATTGATTATAGTGCTTAGTTTCAGGGAGAATTGGAGCCTGAAAAATATTTCTGTTCAATCACACCATCAGGTTTTCAAAGGGTTTATTCTACAGCCTGATTCATTCTAACACTGAACTTTCTAGGTAATCAGTACAGATTTATAGAGATTTAAAATACTACTATATCTTATTGTAATTTTTTCTTTAAAATTATATAAATACTATATATCCATGACAAAAAATTAGATAACATAGAAGTACAAAATATTATAAGTTACCTCTAACCTAGGTTTCACCTCTGTCAATATTTGGTTTTGATGGCATTAAAGCATATGCAAAGTTTTATATTCCAAGAAAACAGTTTTGAGAAGGTGATGTGTTTTATGGTACTACATTGTTCAACATCATTTTTTTTTCTCTTTTTTTTTTTTTTTGAGATAAGATCTCCTTATGAAGCCCAGGCTGGCCTTAACCTGCCTCAGCCTCCCCAAAGGCCAGGATTACAGGTATGTGCCACCCATGCCTGGCTATTTAATTTTTAACATACATGGTCTTTCTCTAGTTCTCCAATTAAATTATCACCTCACAGGCAGAGAGGTTATTTTCTACATCATACTCTACCCACAGCACCTCATTGCTGAATAAAGTAATAATAATGAACTTCAAATGAAGACATTTCATTCTCATGGTTTCCCTGTGCCTGAGAATCACTTTTTAATTCATTGGTCAGATATTCACGATTCCTCCAAAATGTGATTTCAGGGCTGGGAGAATAGCTCAAGTTGTAGAGTGCTTGCCTAGCAAACATGAGGCCCCTGGGTTCAATCCCCAGTAAGGGGCAGAGGGATGGGAAGTAGTAACAACTAGTCCAGATTTTTTTTTTTTTTATCCCATAAACATGCCATTCCTAACTCTGTGCCTTTGCCAGTTTCTGATTTCCTATTCCTGGAATGTCTTTCCCACTCTTTATTATCTATTCAAATCTTAATCATTCTTCCAAAGTCCAATTCAATGATGGCCTTTATAGGTTATTTTTTGTAGTGATTTCAACCCATGTCAAATATTTATTCACTTATAAGTGTCTAAGCACTGAAATTGATAATATTCATTATGGCACTTAATCATACAATATCCTACATTGTAGCTAACACTGTTAGCTAAAATACCTGATAAATATTTTCTTGTCTCTAAAATAAAACATGATGAAGGAAAAGACTATGATCTAAATTGAGAAAGAATATAGGAAAACAATTCCATTTACAATAGCCTCAAAAAAAATCAAATATTAGTGGTAAACTAAAAAAAGGATGTGAATGACCTCTACAAGGAGAACTACAAACCCTTGAAGAAAGAGATAGAGGAAGACTACAGAAGGTGAAAAGATCTTCTGTGCTCATGGATTGGTAGAATCAACATAGTAAAAATGGCTATACTACCAAAAGCAGTCTACGTGTTTTAATGCAATTCCCACCAAAATCCAAAATGACATTCATCACAGAGATTGAAAAATCTACCCTAAATTTCATTTGGAAACACAAGAGACCACTAATAGCCAAGGCAATACTCAGCAAAAAGAGCAATGCTGGAGGTGTCACAATACCTGACTTCAATCTACATTACAAAGCAATAGCAATAAAAACAGCACGGCACTGGCACAAAAACAGATATGAAGACCAGTGGAACAGAATAGAGGACCCAGATATGAATACACACAGCTATGCCCATCTGATTTTCTGACAAAGTTATCAAAAACAAAATAGACAGCCTCTTCAACAAATGTTGCTGGGAAAAGTGGTTATCTGCCTGCAGAAAACTGAAATTAGATCCATGTTTATCACCCTGTACTAATATCAACTCAAAATGGATCAAGGACCTTAATATCAGACCTGAAACTCTGAAGCTAGTACAGAAAAGAGTAGGGAATACTCTGGAAGCAATAGATATAGGCAAGGACTTCCATAATAGAACCCCAGCAGCTCAGTAACTAAAAGAAAGGATGGACAAATGGGACTACGTGAAATTAAAAAGCTTCTGCACAACAAAAGAAATGGTCTCTAAGCTAAAGAGACCACCCACAAAGTGGGAGAAAATATTCACTGGCTATACATCAGACAAAGGACTGATAACCAGAATATACAGGGAGCTCAAGAAACTCAACTCCCCCAAAATCAATGAACCAATAAAGAAATGAGCAACCGAACTAAACAGAACTTTTTCAAAAGAAGAAATCCAAATGGCCAAAAAACACATGAAAAAATGCTCATCATCTCTGGCCATAAAGGAAATGCAAATCAAAACACACTAAGATTCCACCTCATCCCTGTTAGAACAGCTATCATCAAAAACACCACCAACAACAGGTGCTGGCAAGGATGTAGGAAAAAAGGAACCCTCATACACTGCTGGTGGGAATGCAAGCTAGTGCAACCACTCTGGAAAACAATTTGGAGGCTTCTTAAAAATCTAAACATAGACCTGCCATATGATCCAGCAATCCCACTCCTAGGGATATACCCAAAGTTATGCAACTCAGGTTACTCCAGAGGCACCTGCACACCCATGTTTATTGCAGTGCTATTCACAATAGCCATGTATGGAAACAGCCAAGATGCCCTACTACTGACAAATGGATTAAGAAAATGTGGTATTCATACACAATGGAATTTTACTCGGTCATGATGAAGAATGAAATCTTGTCATTTCCAAGTAAATGGATGGAACTGGAGAACATCATCTTAAGTGAAGTTACCCAGGCTCAGAAGGCCAAAAATCATACGTTCTCCCTCATATGCAGACTTTAGACCTAAAACAAATGCAGTAATATTATTGGACATGGGTCACATGCTAAGGGGAGAATACATACAGGAGGAATAGGGAAAGTTAGGAAACCCAAAACTTGAAAGTGTTTAATATGCCCACTCTAGAGGCTAATTAGCATTGATGTGCTAATATGGTAACCTTAAAACAAGAGGTCACTATGGGAAGGTGACTGGGAAGTAATGAAGAGGTCTGGTAGAGATCAATCAATTTGGGTTGTAATACACATGTGTGGAAGCAATGCTAGGAATCCCTCTGTATAGATATCCCAATCTCAAACTAGCAAAAATGCTATGTCTTTGTTATTATTGCTTATGTCTTCTCTTCAACAAAATTGGAGAACAGGGCAGAACAGGTTCTGCTTGGAAGCGAAAGGGTGGGGGAGGAGAAGGAGGGGGAATGTAGCAGGGAGAGAAATGGCCCAAACAATGTATGCACATATGAATAAATGAATAAAGCCAAAAAAGACTGTTCTATGACTCCTTTTATATCACACTAATATTTCAAACAGTAGTGATTAAATACCCATATAGTTATTTAAATGAACCGGCACTGTTATCACCTGACCAACCTGGCTTTATAACATGAAATAATAAAGAAGTAAAAGAAGAGATTCTCAAGTCAAACAGGGAAAGCTTTCCTTTGAGATAAGAAAGGGGCTTTCCCATAAAGGGAACTGAAACAATATTTTCTGTTGGAAGAGAGCAAAGGCTGATTTAAAAAAAAAAAAAAAAAAAAAGGACAAAAATTCTTTTTAAAAGGGTAAGAAAAAGAAAAAGATAGGAGGCATGCATTTAGGAGAAAGACTAAACTTAGAAAGGGAAGCAAGTTGGAGAGAGAAACAAATAATGGAAAGAGTTTTGTAAGTGTTTTAGGTGTATTTTAATATTTAATGAAAAATTAAACTTTCAAATTAATTCTAAATTCTGAAATTGAATACAAAATATAAAACCTGACTAGAGGTTTGGCCTCATCTTAAACTTAAAGAGAAATAACTATAATGAGAGAAAGCCCACTGCACAGGGTCTACATCAGGCCTTTTACGCAGATGACGTTCAATCATGAAACACAAGCTCCATGATTCTAAAGTCCCTGCATATATCTGAATGCCATGACCCTGTGATTTACCAGTTCAACTAACAGAAGTGTCCTTCTTACCTTTGTCTTCTCCCTGCTCACCAATAACCCATACTTCTTTGCCTGCAGGCTGTGCCTTTAAAACATTGGTAATAATATACTGCAATCTCTGTGAATCCAAATTGCATCCAATTCCAATCACTTGATTTGCAGGAAATTTACTCAGTTTCCACGTCACATAGGTCATGATTTCCACTAAACATTGTGTGTAAGGTGAAAACAAAGATTTTTTAAAAATATACTTCTAGCCTAGCTCACAAATAAGATAATAATAAAGTATATAACAGTTTCTATATACTTTTGGTAGGTCCTAAATGTTTAACCATTTCTCACTGAGGAAGGTATGGTTAACAACTGGAATACCACATTTCATATAAGTTATAATGTAGTTAATGACAATCGTAAGAAGCAACTGGTTGATAGAATATGGAAATACTATATTATTCACTGTAAGAAAAAATTTATTGAATATCCATCTCTTTATAATCTAAAATTTCATGGCTTTTTTTCTGTAATGGCAATTCTACTGATACAGTGAACCACCAAATTAATTTAAAATAAAGCATTTTACCTGGTTGAGATGCAACAAGCAGGACACCATGTTGACTATAATGTCCCAGAGCTGGGACAAGGGCTCTGAATAAGTCCACATTGCTCTGCACCACATCAAGGTATGACTCAGAACTACCCAGAGAGTTGACGGTGAAGATCACCACCTTGGAATGAGCAGAGGCAGACAAATCTAATGAATAAAAAGAAACAGTTTGAGCTCAAGACATAGGCTTTAATTCAGTTCTAGTTCATGATTAAAAAAAAAAGTTTTCCTTTTTCCTACACATAGCTTGCCTCTAAATCAATTACAAAAAATGCTGAAAGTTAAAAGTCAGAGTGTATCCAGGACCATGTGTACACTTGTATAATCCTAGCACTAGGGGATCAACAAGTTCAGGGCCAGCTTGGGCATATAGCAAGACTGTATCACACATACACAAAAAAATTGTATTCCACGAGGAGAAAATAGCAATAAAGATAAACAACAATAAATTTTAGGATCCAAAACCTATATACAAGGACTGAGTTTTCTATGTAATGCCAATTTTTAAGGGAAAATAAATAATAGGCTACAGGCAAAGTGAACCTATAGTCAATTATATCACCAGCTTCTAGATTGTGAACTCAGAAGTCCTAGAATTCCTTGAAAGTGATTCAGAGGCAAACTGGGAGGAGTGAGAATAAAACTAGGGAGGCAGCTGGTAAGGACAGCTCCAGGCCACTTACATTGGCCTCTCCAAGCAGAATAGTGGTGCTGCTTTTATTTTTTTATTTATTATGGACTCTACTCCAAGTGAAAAAAACACACCTTGTTTGAAAATCTCTAAATTAAAATACCTTACAGCCGAGGCTTGGCCTTGAACTTGTAATCCTTCTGTCTTGGCTCATTTTTAACTGACTTAACACTGGGTAAAAGAAACTTGGATAACAACTCCTTTCAATGGGACCTATAGGTAAGCAAATGTTATGGCTTAGGAAAAGCTGGTCTATGGAATCCCCTCCTCTGATCTCAAGCACAAGTATGCTATTTTATAACTATATTACTCTTTACCATACCATGTATTTTGTAATAAATACTTGTCAAAACAGTGACCAGATGTAATGTTATCAGGATCAGAAACAGAAACATAAGTCTAGTTAACTTATGAGTTGAGTCAACATTCATAAATGATTATTAGCATCCCAGTAGGACACAGAGTAGATTCCAAGGTTTATATTTTTAATTAAGCCTCTAAGGCTATCTTTCTAAACTATTTCCATAGAAACACTTATGCAATATATCGACTGGGAAATGCATTATCCAATGTTAGTTCATTTTCTGACATAGTTATGGCAATGGTAGATCTAGATTTTAATTACAGTTCTCCATGAGTCCTCTTAAATAATTCCTGTGTTCTAGTGATCAGGGTAGATACCTGTTGATGAGTCAAAAACCTCAAGAACTGGAAGGAATACAGTTAACACCTCCATGTCATTTACTATGTGTCAGGTACTGTCTTAAGAGATTTCCAAAGTACTCAATCTTATCTACAACACAGAATGGGCAATATAACTCTCATTTTCTGAAGCACAGAAAAGTAACTTGCTCAAAATCATAGAGCTGGTTAGTAGAAGAGCCAGAATTCAAGCCCAGGCAGTCCTGGCTTCAGATGCTATTAAGCACTTTGCTATATTTAGAAATTCAGTCATACACGCTCATAAAGATGAGAAAACTGGTACCTGGAGAGATTAGATGACTTGTCCATATTATCAAAAATCAGTGAACATTTCAACTTATAACTTTACAATTGGCCTCAACCTATCTTTCCAGAATTATTTTTCTTTTCCTTCTTTAGCTTCCTCTATTTTGAATGATAGAAATGCCCTCATCCTTACAGTTGATTTAAGAGTGAACAATTTTAGGGGTGTAATATGATTTCAAAAGTACAAGAAAGGCTTCCTATTCCATAAGATTTTCCCATCAAGTTCCCAAGCCTTTTAATCTCTGAATTTAGAAGGCAGGATTATCTGATACTCTCTTATATAAACCTTTGGCTCAAGCTGGTTATATATTCATTCCCCAAAATACTTCTCATTTTCCTAATACTGGCTTTTCCACAAATTCTTTCCAACTGGAATATTTCTCACTGTATTTACCACGTTTCATAAACACCTGTGTAACAACTACATCAAACATACTATGAACTCTGTGAGAGCAGTTGTTCTCTGTCTTTTCTTCCCATCTCTCAGACCTAGTCCCTTAGTAACTGGTAACCTTTCCCTCACCTCTGCTAGTACAAACTTCCCCAATCCTGGAAGACCTGGCATCTATTTTAATCTTACTCAGCCTAAAGTCTTGATCAATCCCCTGCAACAATTCTTACGTATTAGGTTGGATGCTTACTTAAGAAGCATAATAAAAATGCAGATTATCTCATGTTCTGAAGATATCATTTAAATAGATAAGGGAAAATAACTCCCAGGAATGCAACCTCCCAGATGGGCCTGATGCACAACCAGGTTTTGACAAACTGTCCCACAGGTAACTAAGTTCTTTGCACTTGGAAGGCACACAAAATTTTTATCAGATTCTTCAAGTCTTCCCTTAGACCTTAGAAGTTGATGATTTAATAACGGAAAGAAGATTATACAGTTATAAAAGGAATTAGGAAGAACTTGTGTAAACCTGTGATATAAATTACAAGGTTAAAGATAATAATAAAATTTTACTTTGACAAAAATTAATTCAATAAACCTTACTAGGTTCTGCCATGTCACAGGTAATTATGCTAAACTCTAAGTACACAAAAGTGAGTAAGATATTGTCTTTCGTTAACCTATACACAGCATAAGATAGTACAAAGGGTTAGAACTGAGGACTTCAGAATGAGGCTGCCTAGCTCAAATCCAAACTTTACCACTACTTACTAACACAGTGATGAGCTTCCTCCTGTGCCAAGGGCTCAATCAACATCTGTAGTACCAGAACACAAGCCTCTTACTTCTTTCCCATTTCTATATGTACCCCACAGTAAAATTATATCCTTCCTGCTGAGCACTGGTTCCCAAAGTCTATACTCTAGACAAGTGCTGGTCACAGTTATACCAAGTGATTGTCAAAACCACTCTCAAATAGGTCAATAGACCCAATAAATGATATTCCATACTCAGCTGAAATCTGTTCACAGATTATAAAGGTGATGTAATGAATAAAAGATGACTTTACTTTAAAACATTACTCATTTATTTTATATAAAACCATGAAAAACCAGGCAACTCTGCATTAAATAATTATGGCTAAATACTGTAGAGACCTGTTGAAGTATTCATTAGTGTATCAGTCTAAATATACTAAAAACAGTACATTATTTTCATGTCTCTGGTATATTGTTAAACTGTTCTAACCATATTAAAAATGATCAAATATGCTCTTCTCAAATTATTTTTAATATAACTCAAAATTTTAGAAATGTATGTTCTCTCATATGATATAACTCCTAATTTAGAAAATTGTGCTAAGATGATAACTATTTAAAAATCTTCCCATGTTGGTGGGATGGAACCCACAAAGAACAAATTCACAGTAGCTTTAGGCATGTTATTTCATTCAATGAATAGAAGGGATACTTTTTTCTGGTGAAATGGACAGATCTTCAAAATGTTACACAAGAACACTCATTTTTTAAAATAAGGTAGGAAACCACTGCTCAGTGCCAGTGGATGCCTTTAATCATTAATACCCAGTGAGCTGAGTTTTGGGATTCTATAAAGAATGCCATGAGTTTCTAAGATTTACCATATTTGAGAAACCAAGCCATGAACTAGGTATGTTATTTATCTTATCTTTAGAAAGGATTTTCTGATAAAATTTCACAATAAGGGAAAAAATGACACGAGCTGCAGGCACAATACAAAGACCATCAAGAGTACTCAGAGGGGACTACTGGTTTCTGAGTCCCACTTCTCAATTCTCTCCCAGAAGCTGTTGCTTTTGCTTTTCAATAAACTTTGCTGTCTCCCTTAAAAAAAAACAAAAAAACAGTACTGAGAGATCTGGCAAAGAGCTTACTCTGGCAGGTTTCCTAGAGAGAAGGTAACTCAAGCTATAAAAATTAAGAAGGGCAACTAGGAAGGACATACAGAAGGCTGATGAGAGAGAACCTGGAGTGAGTGGAAAGGAGGAAGGCAGATGACAAAAAGCTTAAATCAGTGATTCTCAATGTCAGTAAGGTGAATTTCAAACTTATAAATTTGCAATCCAGAGCTGGCAGAGTGACTCAAGTGGTAGAGTGCCTGTCTAGCAAATGGGAAGTCCTGAGTTCAAGCCTCAGTACCGCAAAAATATAAATTTGTAACCCATATTATGAGAAATACATTTTATATCATGATCTTCATGTATAATATATGTATAGGTATAAAGATAAACAAAAACAAAAACATCATAAAAATACCTTTACTACATATGCTTTGATGTTTTCTGTTCTACTCTAGCTCATGTTTATAAAATGCTATTTATAATCTGCTAGGCTGATTTGACAATCTACTCACAATGAATAGTTCAAGGAGTCTAAGAGCTACCTAAGAGTCTTGTTTAAAATGTTGATTCCCACGTTCCACCTCTGGAAATTCAGGTTCCACCAACAGAAGGCAAAAGCTAAGGATCTGTAGTTTTGATCACCTCAGGTGATTCCAACATAAGTAATCAACCCATAAACCATGGTTTTTGTTTGTTGTTTGTTTTTGGACATACTGGGGTTTGAACTCAGGGTCTCACACTTGCTAGGGAGGTTATTTACCACTTGGGCCATGCCCCAGTCCTTTTTGGCTTTAGTTATTTTTCAGATACCAAGGGTCAGCCTCAGACTGAGATCCTCCTACCAATGCCTCCCACATGGCTGGGATTACAGATGTGTACCAACACACATCTGGCTTGTTTGTTGAGATGGGGGGTCTCATTATCTTTTTGCCTGGGCTGGCCTGGAACTGCAATCCTATCTTCACCTCCTATAACTTTTTTTTTTGACTGGGATTTGAACTTCAGGTGCTTTACCACTTGAGCCAAATTTCCAGTCCTCCCTCCCGAGTAGCTAGGATAACAGGCATAAGCCATGCCCAGTCCCCATAAACCATGTTTTAAGAACTGAACAAATTTTACTGTGCTCTAATATGATGACTTACTTTTTGCTCTATGATTATTTTTCCATGCAAACA